TTTTTTTTTTATGTCTTTTTACATACCTTCTCTTTTGAACTTTTGCCTATCATTCAAATTTAAAATGACCCTGGTAGAGAGGCTTACACAGAAATACCAAAAGCAAACTCTACCCTACCCTCTCCCATAAAACCAAACTTCCCCCAAAAAGATCAATATGGGGGTGGCAGATTTTTGCATCCTTCCATGTGCTACAAAGAACAGACACGCTCCTGTTACATGACTGGCTTTTTATTGTAGGCCTCATCTTCCCTGAGGAGTTAAATATTTTCTAGTCAAAATTAAAAACAACCTTTGTCAAACTTTCTTTTTTGAAAGTGGGAAAGGAAGTGAAGCTAATTGATCCACAGAAATGAGAAGGAACAGGCCATTATATTTTAACCAGTGTGTAAAGAAGGTTCTGTGCAATCATCCTTGATAGCTGATTACATAGAACCTCCTTTGGAGAACTTGGTTTTAGAGCAAATCACCGGTGGGGATGAAGCTTTACAGCTTTGGAGTCCTTATTGCCATTGTCCTTGTTTGGAAGCAGCAGGTCTCTGCATTTCAGAGGTAACACCAGAGGAGCCTGGAGGGTGGTGGGTTGTTCCCCAGACTTGTTTGCTGGCCAGGCCTTGTGGAGTCAAACCAGTGCACTGGGGTGGTGAGCAAATGGTCAGGTCTGAAGTTCAGCCCTTTCAGAAACTTGCCCTGTGGCCCTAAGAAACAAGAGGTTTCAATATAGCCAGTTTCTTGCTAAGCCCAGGGTCTGTCATTTTTCTTATCCGGACCTAGTTTTAGGAGAACGTGTATTTAATGTCCGGATCTAATTGTATTGCTAGAAGAATGTGTATTTAGTGGCTGTGGAGATTAAGGAGTCTTTTATGAAAGTATTTATATTCTAACATATGAAATATATTAACTTAGTGTAATTTATTTTCCTCTTGTACATGGAACATAAAAGGGATAAGAGACTAAAAGTATCAGGGTATTTGGGTTGTGCTTGAGTACTCAGACTATGACAGGAAGAATAGTTGTGTTTTAAAGATCACATCATAAACTTACCCAATTATTTTGTTTAGTAGAGTGATTCCGGTAGGATCTTCTACTACAACCCATTTAGAAGTATACAAACCATGCTGTAGCAATATAGCACATGATGTGAATAGTTCCAAGCTATGTATAGTGTGGGCATTTAACTAGTCAGTTATTAAGCTTTTTAAAATTGGAAGCTTCCTTTGGAATTATCTCCTTTTGTTTGTTTGTTTTGTTTTGTTTCCATGATCCTTTTCTTCTCCACTTATCTCCCAGACAGATTTCTCTCCCATGAACGGCAAATAGGGAAGGGACACACCCAGAATGGGGGAAATTCTGCCAAATAAAACTCTCTGAGTCATTAAAAGTTATAGGACAATATTTTAGAAAATGGAAACTGATTTGTGATGCTGAAGTTGTGTTTGCACATCATCATGGAATTAATTAGTTGGTTAATTGGTTTTTATTCAATATGACTGCCAAGTTTCAAGCAACAAATTCCATCACTAAATAATAATTACTGAGTTGACACAGGAGAAAAAAGCTCGAATAATCAGTGACATGTCTCTGTATTTGATCAGTAAATCAGGACGATGATTTCTGAGGTTGTTGCTAGTTATAACTTGGTGATAGGCTTTCAGGTAAGGGGAGTGAAAAGGAAAACTGACACTGGCGTGTCCAACTTGAACATGGTAGCACCGATACGGCTACGGCTGTGCCATTGGCTGAGGGGGCCAGGGAGAAAACAGGTTATTTAGTATCTGTTTCATTCCATGCACTGGAATAAACGCTTAGAAATGCTATATTGTTAGGTACTGACAGTCCCACAGTCTTGAAATCTTCTCAGCATTTTAGAGGGAGGGACTTGAGCCTCAAGAATAAACCACATGCTCACAAATCCAAGAATAAGTATAGGGTTTGAATTCAACCCCACTTTCCCCCTCATTTTAATTTTTTTTTTCACTGTACAACACTGCCTCTAAAAATTCTAGAAATTGGAAAGAGAGCCAATTTGAAAGGAGGTTAGATTTCACAACAGTGAGTTCGAGAAGACAGTTGATCCAAGATCTACATGGAAGAAAGACCAGAGATCATCTTTACAGTCCTCACCTGTGGCATCTAACTAAAATGTGGCATCTAACTAAAATGTGACCTTGGCACCAGCCCAGACCCTGACTCCTCACAGCTGCTCCTGGGCTTTGGGAGGCCCCCTGCAGCCTGGGCCAGCCCTCTGGATCACACTGTGAACTAAACTCCTTGATTAAGTAATCATTAGCGGAATATACCAAAAGCTTTCCCATGTCACTTCAAAATGAGCAAGCATATAACAGTTCAACGGCACAAAATATGCAAGTAAAGGAAATAGACAAGAAAAAAAAAAAGAAATGAATGCATACCCCAGAAAGGGCTTTCCTTTTTTTTTTTTTTTTTGCTTCAGCTTATACTTTGGAGTCTGGTCCCTCTGCTGGATGAGAGGAATGAGAAAAGAACTGTATTTTAACCAGATAACACCATATTAGAAATATTGGAGACTGTGTATTTGGAGAGGTGGGGAGCTGAGAAAACTGCAACTTTGTTGTAAAATATAGATTTGATTTCTTGAGGCTAATCCTCCCCTAGAAATAACATTACAGTCTCCTCTTTCTGTAAGTAGAAGTTATTATTTTTTTTAACCAAATGTTCCTTTCCAGGAAAGGTCTCTTACCGAAGCTAAAAGGGAAATCTAATTTCATTCGGGATGTCAAACTTTGATGAATTATTTCTGGGGGCCATAATACAATCCCTTCTAAAAAGAGCTAATTGCTCTGGTTTTTTCCCTAAAGCTGCTCTTTGTTATTGTTTTCTTGTCATGATCATTTTCCTAATAACACACTGTATTCAGGCCATCTCCTAGTGACTGATTTGTAGGTACATTTTGATAAATCTCCTCAATGAGATGCCATGGAACAAGAACAAAAAAATTTTAAAGGCAGAAATATCATTTGCCAAAGAGAAAGGCAGCCCCCCAAAAGTCTCTATATTAACTTCCTTTTAAAAGGCAAACACTAAAAAGTGTGAAAGTAAAATACTAGTAGGAATCATGACAACTGTCATTAATTGCATTACCTAAGCACAGCTTGGCTGCCTAGGCTGTTTATTGGGAATGAGGAAGAGAAAGAAAAGAAGGAAAAGGAATTAGAGAGTGGAGGAAATTTGCAGATAGAGGGCTCCGGAATTATCAGCAGACCACAGGAAGCATTCTCCTGTTGACTTCATTTACTACCTGCCACCCAGGAGACCAGCTTACTCTCTTTCACTGAGCTGCCACTGATCCATTATTTTCATCTTAAAGAACAGCACACCAGTGGCCTTAAAATGCTGTAATGCATAAACAAAATTCCTGCCTTGGGCCATGTTCTGTTATTCAGAAACATCCCACCTGCCTTTCAAATTAAAAAAAAAAAATCTTTCAGAATTGTGACAAAACTTGATGAGCATAATTGCATTCTTAGAAAAGCATCAAAGGAAATGTTGCTTAGGTTTTAACAGCACAGGACCTGGAGAGGAGTTGAAACCACAGATCACCTGATTAGTCCTACAGTCTTGGACTCTTGGTGCCCCTCTCTAGACCTCAATTTTTGTTTAAAATGACTTGTTATTTCGCTGTGCTTGTCCTTTCAGTCTAGTTTTTGCATGAACCTGTTCTGTTTTTTGCTTTTGAACGGTTATTTCTAAAATACTGTATCTGTCATTTCAGAGATCATCAAAATGGGTTTTTATTTTCCATTTCTTATTACCCCATTATATTGTACATGGACTCCTGCCCTGACATGGAAGTTAGAAAATTCCGGGACTTTTAAACCCAGTCAAGTAATTGACAGTCCTTGAGTTATATATAGAAATGTAAATGACTATAATACAGAAAAAAGTAGAAGGTCAGATCCAGCGGTGCTGTTATTCAACTGTTACAGTCCTTTTCTTGAATTTTAACTTCTCCAAGATTTTTAAGATTCCTTTGCTGGGTATTCTCTTGATCAGCATAGCTGCAGTTCTTCCTAGGTGGTCTCTTGTGACTCCATCCTTCCCTCCTAGGAAACCTGCAGTGACCTCTGGCTTCCTGTGGCTGAGATTCCTCCCCCGCTTTTGTGGTGTTTGTATGTACACACATATATGCACCCACACATTTATGTGGCTGTAGAAACATTGTTCCTCTGGTAACCAGAGCTTTTACATGTACAGAGCTCCCTTCTGAGATTTGAGAATTATAAAATGTAGTTGGTAGTTGGCAGGACCTCCTGGGACCTGCCTGGGCCACTGGCTGTACAGTCTTCATGTTCCCTCCATGTCTACAGGGGGTTTCTGCCTGTATTCCAGTTTTCTCCCACATCCCAGTGGCGTGAACGTCAGGTTCATGGCACATCTAAGCCATTCCAGTATTCGTGAGCAGGAGTGGTATGCAAATGTCCTCTCTCCTGTCCCATGTGGATTCCTGCTTTGCCTGGGAGCTGCAGGGACAGGCTCTGGCCACCACACCCCTGAACTGGTACAAGCGATTTGGAAAGGCAACCAGTGATTGTTACAGGGCACCCCAATGTGAATTGGGTTGCCTGTCTGTGGGTCTTCACCAGTGCGCTTACGATTCAATCGTATTATAGACACACTCAAAAGGTTAAATAATGGATTTATTTATAAGGAGAAAGGTAAAGGAATAACCAGGGAAAGAGGGAGAGAAACACAGGTTAACTAGGATGTCCTACCAGTTCTGCTGACTTGGACTCCACCGGCACGCTGAAAACCGATAAGGGCCAAAACGATCAGCTGCGAACCACCAGGCCAAGAGCCCCCCAGAGCCCACATGTCCAGTTTTATCCCAACCTGGCTGCTCAGCTCCGCCCTCACGTCCTGGCGTGCTTCTTCTTGGTACTGATGGGATTTGGAGTTCCAGCATCTGGAGTAGGGGCGGAGTCCATGAAACCTGTACCTGTTACATGATGACAAATTACTATTAAATAGTATAAGTGTTGGATCTATATTTAGAATTTTGGTGATGTTTTTGTGACCAGAAATATGCTGTAAGAACTTAATTCTGGTTCATATCAACTAGCATACAGTAAATTTTTTTTTACAACATTTTAACTTAAAAACATCATTGACAATATTAAGTGAGGGCTTGTTGTACCATATACCCAAGGCTCTGCCCAGCAGAAAACCACACCGAGGGCAGTGGCCACTATTCAGACTCTTATTTGGTGTATTTGATTGTCCACTGCATTCTCTGGAATCCATTTGGCTCTTGTGGGAGGCAGGCTGGTAAATGAAAAGTGAATTCCATGGGAACCACCAACTTGAATCTTTGGTATTTAAAGTGTATTCCCAGTACCTGCCATTTCCCTTCTAGGGTGCTTTTTTCCCTTTAATGTTACTGTCTTGGCTGGGGGTAGACAAGTTCACAGTTTGAAAACTTTTCCTGTCTTGTTACTACTTCACAGGCAAGAAATCAGTGGGGGTTCTGCCAGCTGTCAAGTATGTCCAATTCAATTATACATTTTGGGACCTGGAAAATGATCATGGGGGAATCCATGGGCCCCATGGGCCCACAGCAGACTGAGCTTAAGTTAGGATTCCAACCTCCAAGTTTCAATGTCACTTACACCTGGAGTGCAAAAGGCTCAAAATATCCTCTCCCTCATATACAGTTACCTGAATCAGTTGTCATAGGTCCCTTTTGGAAAGGGGAAGTGATGACCACATGCCCTTTATATACTACTGCAGGGTCTTTCCTTGTGAGGACCTGACTCCTCTGTCAGGCAAGAACTTCCAGGTCAGAGAATCAGCTCATGTTTGGACACCAGGCAATGGATGGTGACTTGATGGGAATAGCTGTCCTTAGCCTCTGTCACTATCTACCGTGATTTATTTTGATTGTAAAGATTGAGCAATACGTCTGTTGTCTGCCCCTCCAGCCCCTGAGAACTCTGTGTTCTCTTAACTAACTCTGTAGCTTTCGAAGGGTCATTGCCCTCTGGCTGCTGCTCTGACCGCTGTTCATTACAGTGATTGTGATCAGTGTGTTACTGGTGGGTAAGCACTGCCATCTGGCTTCTATTCTACAGTGACCTCAGCACTCCTGTTGCCTTTAGGGAGCTAGACCTGCAATGTCATCTTCCACGGCCAGTCCTCAGGCTCTAGTCCCATCTTCCCTCCTGCTTCCAGGTCAGTTACTAGTGTTAAGACATCCTCTGGCTGTAGCAATGTGTTGCTCAGTGTGTTACTGAAGGAAAGGACCATATTGCCAAGGAAGTGTACTTATCCTTGGTACAGTATTTGACATTGTAGTTAGATCCTTGGGAGTTGGTGCTAATTGCTGCTAAGATGATATATTTTAGCTCAGAGAAAACAATGGGCTATCCTAAGTGAACCAGAAGTACTGTGGCAGATGGTGAAAAAAGGAATCAGAATATTCAAGAACAAGATATGAAAGTATTGTGCAAGGCTAGAAAAACCACAGTGTGATTGTGCTCATTGATGTGTTCACAGGACAGCTGAAAACAGCAAGGGATGTTCTGATAAGAGGATCACCAGAAGCTAGTGACTTTTTCACACTTAGAAAGGCTTTATATATATATATATATTTCTGATTGAATGAGTTCTAGTAGAAGGATAAATAATGTGGAAAGCATAAAATTTAGAAAAACACTAAAATTTCATCACTGAGAAAGCATTAACATTTTGATGATCATTATTTCATGTATTTCTCAATACATTTATATATGTACATGCAAATTTTATAATTGTTACATATCACATCTTCTATCAATACTACAGAGCCCTTTCTTTTTAAAAGTCTTATCTGCTCTCACCTCCCCAGTCCTTCATCTGCCATTCCTCACCCTCCAAATCAATGTTAATAATGTGCTGTTTATTTATACATAACTTTCTTCTGCTTTTAACACATGATTTTTCTGTTTCTAATTATATCAAGTAAATCTCCCCTAGTCAACTATTATAAATATAACTCATTCTTCGTAATGGCTACAAAGAATTCTAGAATGTGAAGCAACAACCGACGTTCAACAATTCTGTTAGTAATAGGATTCATGTGATTTCGAGTTATTGCTACAATGAATAATCCTACCATATATATCCTTGAACACTTGAAGAAATGGTTGAATAGGTTATGCTGAAATTGTTCCAGAGGTTGACTTACAATTTCCCAGCCTCTTGTTTCTGTGGGCCCCTCCTTCTTGTTATGAAAATCAGGTCTCCACAGGCTTATTTCCAGAATTTAAAATTTTTTAGTCAGGTTTTCCAAAGTAAAACAATTTTCTACTCTGCTATCAAAGCTGTTCTTATAAATCATAAGTCAAGTGATACCACTTTCTTCTCTCTAACTTGCCTACAACATAAAGTCCAAGTTTCTCAGCTTGCATTCAAATCCTTCACTAGGAGAGTTGGAACTTAAATTTCCAGATTCAGTTCTGTTTATCTACCATTCTTCTCTTGCCCTAAACACCTATGTCCTACATTGGACAACAATAAACAGCTTTCAGTTTTCTCCAAGGTGTCCTTTTGTCTCCTCCCATCATAACTTTATACACTTAATTCATCTAGTTATCTCTTCCATGAAACCTTCACTAATAACGTAAGCAGAAGTTGTCATCATCTCTTTGGCCCACAGTTCCTGATACATTTTTTTTTTAATGCAGTGGCTGCTGACTACTTCATAGTGCTGATACTTAACCCCTTGTGCCACGAGGAAGGCCCTGTGTTGTTGTTGTTTTTAAACATTTTGCATACAGAATTGGAGTACAGGCCATAGGTACAGGGGCGGTGAGAAGATTCACCAGAGACAGAGTGGGGAGCAGAACAGGCCGACTGATGAAATACACTGCTGAGGGGAACAGCGGGAAGGTCAAGAGAGGTCTGCCACGCCATGTGGGTCACCTCTGTGGCCAGGGATGGAACTCTCAAGGAAGCGGCTGCGGCTAGCTCGCAGTGCTGCGCCTTAAGCCACTGAGCCACCAGAGAGGGCCCTGTGTTCTTTTGTTTGTTTGTTTTAATACTTAATCTGTAGTGGGGCTTGCTTTTATCCTTTTACATTTTTCTTTTTACAATGATCAGATCCTCTCTGACTACAATTTATCTCGTTTTCACTCTTTAAAATCTAATACCAAAATTCTGTTTATTGTTTCCCAGTGGCCAGGTTTTAGCTGTTCTTCCTAGAACTTCTAGGCAAGTTCAAATTCTGCAGAATCTGACAACAACATACAAGGTAATTTCTTCCTCATTTCTCTTTATGTTTGTTTTATTTTTGTACAAGTATTGCATGCCACTTTCCCATTCACATGGCATCTGACTGAGATATAACTGGGTATAAGCCCCCTTTTTAGTCTTCTCTCCCTTCTGCAAACCATGTGATTTTGTTGGTTCCTTTTAATTTGTGTATTGACTTACTGTACGTCAGTTCATTGTTGTCATAATGGTCAAAAGAAATGAGTATGACCATGAGGTAAAGAGAATGCTAAAATAGAAAATAATGCAAATATTACTGGAAGGCTTTGCTCAAACATAATAATTAGAGAAAAAAAACACAGACAAGGTAAAACTTTTGAAAAATTCTACGTCAAGGATATAGAATTTTTTATTAAAGAAAAATCAGTATGTCATAAACTTTCTTTCTAGATGAAATTCATTTCCCTTTTAAACATCTATCAAGAACATCCAATTTTATAGTTGGATCATACAAATACATATCCACCCCTTCATTCTTGCTTACACCAAGCACTTGTAAAGTGCCTAGTGTATTCTAAGTCCTCTTTAGCAACGAGGGTTACAGAGAAGAACAAAGAAAGTTCCCTGAAAAATAAACACATATATTACCTAGCATGTGGGTGGGGACCAGTAACTAGGAAACTTTCATTTCCCTTATAGGTACATTTTTTTTTTTAAGATTTATTTAGTTGTGAATACAGAACTGGGGTACAGGCCAGAGGCTCAGGGGCAGTGAGAGGCTTCACCAGAGACAGAGTGGGAAACAGAACAGGCAGATTGACGAAGTACACTGCTGAGGGGAGCAGCGGGCGGGTCAGGAGAGGTCTGCCACACCATGTGGTCACCTCCTGGGCAGGCGAGAATCGAACTCATGTGGAAGTGGCTTTAGATTCTCAGTGCTGTGCTTTAACCCGCTGCGCCACCAGGGAGGGCCTATAGGTACATTTTTATGGCTTTAGCTATATATGAGATTAATGTGAACAATCATTTTTTGTTTTATCAATTTTCCCCCTTGAAACTGCAGGTTGTTCTTTGGCAGCCAGTAACAGCTGAGTTAATTGCAAAGCAAAACGAAGTCCATTTTTTTGTGAATGCATCTGATGTAAGCAATGTGAAATCCCTTTTAAATGAGAGTAGAATTCCATTCAGGTAGGCATCATTCATAATTTATTGAGTAGCTATTTTAAGGACTTATCATACATTTCACTAGGGGATGGTATAATTTCTTTCTGGAAAAATAAATACATTAAACATGGCAACAAGGAAACATCTAAAACGCATCAGTGATGAAACCCAAGTAGCTAGCTCTGTGGCCGTGGAAAGTGGCTCCATGTCTTGTGACCTTAGACCCTTACTTGAAAATGAGTGCTAGATACAGTGATTGGTGCAGCTTCTTATAGTTTCCTCTAATTCCTTCCGTCTTATAGTTCCTCTATTCTGTACCCAGACTCTGCAAGAAAAGTTGTCATTCACTTTAGTAAGCTTTGTAGAATGTCTCAAGCAGCTACTTGAAGGCAACTGTACTTCCTTCACAAAATCTTTGAACAGCCCTGAATATCTGGCCCTAAATTAAAATTGTACCTGGTATGATTTATGTTTAGAGTCAGTCCATACCATCTTCTTTTTGATGTTTTCCCTCCAAATAGCTCTTCCTTTGGCCAAGTGCTGGTGTCCAGCAGCTGCCCGAACACTCCCTGGAGTCCATGCTCTCTTCTGTGACTCAGTGGGAAACTTCTGGAAAATCCACTATGACAATAATTAATCCAGTATAGGTGTTTAATGCCTTCCAGGAACTGTGTTGAGTCTATTTCAATTTACAGATTGCTGCCACCATCTAAAAGTAGAACATTCTGATTTGGTATGTTCTGGAAGTTATTTTTGGAGATGGCTATGCTATTATCACTGATTTATGTGAAAAATATCTGGAGCAGTCTCAAACCCCCCAAATAGCCTATCATCTCAAGGAGAAACTGAGGTGGAATGTTTCACTTTGAGATAGTGAGGGAAAGCTGCACTATTTTGTTTCATCCTTATTTAACCCTGCAAGCTAGACAGTATCCTAATTGTGTGCAGTCATACTTATGAAGGAATTTCTCAGTCTCAGCCAGCTAGAACAGAGTAGACCTTTTCTGATATCAAAGCCTTGACTTTTGTTCATTGGCCTAAATAAAAGAAGAGAAATCTTTATTAAGACGACAACTAATTCTCAAATTGTTCAGCCCCGGTGAGAGAATGACTTGACATGTTCAGATGTTTGAACCTAGTGTGAATGTGGACATTCTCAAGAGACACAGAATAGGGTGCCTTTCATACTTTCTCTTTACCATTGCTTCTATTTCTCTAGAGATTTGATAATCTATGACTATGCAAAACATCTGGGATAGGTTATTCATAGTTTGTCACAGTAAAAAAGAAAAGGTTGATGTTTCTCCTTGGCCCTAACTGAAAACAGACTACAACACTATTACTCCAGATTGAAGAAAGTTGTCTGTTAACCTATAAGCTTACATAAAAACACTGAAGAAACATAATTGAGCAATGTTGATGATGTGAAAAAGAGTGAAAATGGAAGATCCTTAAAACTCACCCCATAGAAGCTACTTCCTCTCCAGTGTCCATTAAGCCCTGCTGAATAGGTTTGCAAATTTCAGCTTATCACAGTTTGGTAGTGGTGTTTGTTATAATGTGAAAAAGAGTGAAAATGGGAGATCCTAAAAACATACCCCATAGAAGCTCTTTCCTCTCTAGTGTCCATTAAGCCCTGCTGAATGAATTTGCGAATTGCAGCTTATCACAACTTGATATTGGTGTTTTCACTCTGTTGAACTTTTACTTGTTAAATTTCTTAGTGACTATTTCCCCATGATGTACCTGCAATGGGCCATGTGGGAAGATCAGATCCCTGTTTAGATACCAGCTTACCCTCTGTTTCATCACCTAGTGTCTCCATAGAAGATGTGGAAGAACTTATTCGACAGCAAACTTTGAACGACACGGTCAGCCCCCGGGGAGCCTCATCATACTATGAACAATATCACTCCCTCAATGAAGTAAGTCAGCACACTTGAATTACTGTTTTCATTTGATAAGCATTTCCGTCTTAACCAAGGGAAATTATTAAAGAATCATAACTGCTGGAAGAGGGTAAAAAAAAACCTCAGACTTGGGTTGATTTCATGGTGGTAATTCATCCTTCTGTCGGTATCTTCCCTGGGAAAATTGTATTACGGCCTCTAAACAGGCTGATGGTTTAGAAGTTCCCTAGCACTTAGGAGTAACAGTGCATGTTAAGGAACAAAAAGAACTAAAAATAGAACCTTTTTGTTGAAACTGTCCAGTTAATCATGTTTCTTTAGAACATTACTCAGATTATAACCAACTAAACAATTGCCAGATTGTCTCACTAAATTCAAAGAATGTAATCAGTGATATTTAGTACATTATCAAGTACATTTTATTCTTCTGAAAAAGAACCTATTTAAACTGGTGGTAGTAGTAGCAGTAATAATCGTAAAAGTAGTAATAATAGAAGAAGGAATGTCAGTGTCTTCTTTGTTTATATCATTAAGAAATTGAATGTTTAGTCCTATCAGTACTTACCGTATTCAGTTTCTCTAGAGGGAATCCGAGTAAGATGTTGATGTTCAGTTGACCTCGGTAAGCTTTCATATAATACACTAAATCATTTCCACATATCTATTTGTTGAAAAGGTAAGCCCCTTAAAGGGCTTTCTTTTTTATAGTAAATGCCAAGTAATAAAAATCCCTAGATACCTTTTATTCTTTCATAGGACTTTGCTGTGGTATTGCTTAATATAAACATTTTTATCATCTTTGACTAGGTGCCCAGAAACTGTTAAGGACCATATCTATCTATATTTTAATACATCTAGACTCAAGTAATAAAAATCAATTTTCTATTTAATCTTCAAAAGCATCTGTTTCTTTCCAGTTAGTTAAACGAGAACTCCGTCTGCTTCTAGAATTGATGTGTCTGGCTGATTGATGAGGATTTTAAAGCTCTATCCCTCTCCTATCCTTCTCTTCCCCTTCTGTCCTCTTGTGTCCATCATCAGATCTACATAGGCACCCTGTAGCCAGAGTCAACAGATTAGATGGCATATGATTTGCAAACTGGAGATGGCAATATAAATAAATCACCACTGTGTTGAAGCTCAGTAAGAAGGGGCATACCTTAAACAAGTATTTTTAAATATTAAAAAAAAATGTAATTATTTTGTTCAAAAAAGGTATCCCCAGGAAAGAATTGGAAAGACATGGGAGGAAAATAAGTACATAATTATATTAGTTTAGGACACACTCTCAACAAAGTATCATAGGCTGGGATTTAGACAACAGAAATGTATTTTGTCACACAGTTTGGAGTGCTGGCAATCCACTGCCAAGTTGTCCACAGGGTTTGTTTCTCTTGAGGCATCACTCCTCGTCTTTATCAGTAATTTTGTGACCCCACGTGGCCTTTTCTCTGTGTGCACACCCCAGCTGTATCTCTGCAATGTCCTAATCACCCCTTCATATACAAACACCAGTCCAGCTGGGTTAGGTTTTACCCATGTCCTCACTTTAACTTACTCACCCCTTTACACTCTCTCAAATAGAATCACCTCCTGAGGTACTAGGATGAGGACTTCAATGTAGGAATTGAGGTCAGGACGCACAGCCTAGTTCACGATGAAGAAATTCCAGAAAATACTGTGGACCTTTCCTCCCCCTGCCACCCCTGGTCTTTTCTAAGAGTCAAAGGAACCATGACAGTCCTGCTCTCAGGAATTCTGCCATATCCTTCCTCCCTCAACAGTGATTCTCTATCACCTTTGTTACCCACTATCACTAGGAAATCTTAAATAATTCACAGTAGGGAGAGAAACAAATCACCAAAACATACTTCTCAAAGCAGATAGTAAAAGAAGAGAGACATCAAAGGATGTCACCATCACCCCTGATTAGATAACAAAATGGCTAAAGAAAGTCTGTGAAGCTGAATTCAAACAGCAGCCTGCCCAGCTTTAGGAAAATCTGAATCATTAACATAGTGACATAACATAGCTTAACACTGTCGCATCCTTAGTTGTACTTCTATTAAAAGTGTGGCACAGGGCCTTCCCTGGTGGCATAGCGGGATGGAGCACTGCACTAAGAATCTTAAGCTACTTCCACATGAGTTCGATCCCCGCCTGCCCCGGAGGAGATCCACATGGCGCGGCAGACCCCTCCTGGCCCGCCTGCTACTCCCCTCAGCGGTATACTTCGTCGGTCTGCCTGTTCTGCTCCCCACTGTCTCTGGTGAATACTCTCATCCTCCGCATCTCTAGTCTGTGCCTCAGTTCTGTATGAATAAATAAATAAATCTTAAAAAAAAAAAGTGTGGCACAGTACAGATAGCCACAGTGAGAAAATCTTTGATAGTTAAATTTCCAGCACCCAAGACACAGATAACATAACTATTTAGCAATCATCAGACCTTCCTGAGCTTCTTAATTCCCAGCTGACAATAGTTACATTGCTCTGGGAGAATCTAAAAGGTGCTCCAGTTTTTCCATCAACTAGGGTTGCTATTGGAGATCATCTTTCAAAAAGATTTCAAAAATAGGGTCAAGGATTGGTCATTCTCATTTTAGAAAGCATAAAAGTATAAGCATGACCTCAGGACATGTGGTTTACATTAAAACATGACTGAGTAGCACTTATCTTAAACAGGTAATGAGTCATCACCAGCTTTGAAATGGATGCTATCCTAAAGTCATTCCTAGAATTATTTTGTTTTGTTTTCCTGCCACTACAGAATCACAAATACTATGACTTCTCCCAAAAAAATAGGTCCAGATTTAAACTCCTTGCTCATGATTGAGAAGAAAGTTCCTGGGTATCCTCCCCTTTGCCTCTCACTATTACATGGTTCTCATTGTTGGGGACACTGGGAAATAATGCCATTTCCATTTACTCTATGCAAAGAGTCAGGGTTTCCTTTGATTACCTGTAGAAACTTGAATATTTTAAAAATTGCCACAAACAAAAGTGAACTCTTGAATGATGAAGATTTCATTTGCAGCAGGGATTCAGTGGCACGAGCCTTTAAAATAATTCTCAGGAGTTATACTTTAAAGGTTCACTTTTCCTATATTGTCATAAGTCACTTAGGACGTTTCCACTCTTTCTCTACTCCTTGGTACTTCTAAAAACTTTTACTGATTTTCAATTTTGTTGATTTAATCAGCAGAAGAAAACAGTGCCCTGAGTGTTTAGTTCTCCATATTTATTATGTAAAAAGTTTTAGAGGGATCTGATGAAGAAGTTGTGTGCTTCCTTTGATCAAGGACCTGCTTTGAACCTGCTCTCTCACCACTAATTTCTACTTTGACAGATCTATTCTTGGATGGAAGTTATAACTGAGAACTATCCTAACATGGTTGAAAAAATCCACATTGGATCTTCATTTGAGAAACATCCACTTTATGTCTTAAAGGTGAGTTGTGGGGTTCTCCAGTGGTTCTTATTAGAGCTTAGATTTTTTTTTTCTTTTGATGCCTGGAAATAGTTCTATTCCACATCTTTAATATTATGCTCTTTAGGGATTGGTTATTAACATTTAGATGTGTGGTGTTGGTCCAAGAGTAGAATCCTGTTTCAGAATCAACATTATATGAGCCATGTACCCTTCCTGAACATAAGTGCCTATCTTCTTAAAGTGAGGGGACTAGTCTGGGTTACTTTTTCAAGTCCCAGTTTGATTTACACCACCACCACCACCACCTCTGATCAGCATACTTAAGACAAAAAGAAAAAAAAACAAACAGGAACAGAATGTATTGCTGAACAAACACCGCCACTGATGCCATCTCTGGAACCAAAGTAAGAGCTGAACTACCTAAGCCAGAGACGGACAGGTACCTGGGGTAGGGGAGGCAGGAGGGCTCATTGATGACTTCTACTCCAGTCTTCATCCATCTAGTTATTTTCAGTGGACTAAACTGGCCTTAGTAAAAGTCAGTAATAAGCAACACAGGAAGAAATTTCAGGAGTTGAAGCCACAATCATTCCTGCCTTTGATTTCTCATTCTGCAGTTTGTTTTTACCACTCTCTTCCCTCCCAACCAACCCCCCAGAAAGAAGTATTGGGTAAGAGCCAATCGTTGGGAAAATACACTTAATTTAATAACATTTAAGTAATGCATTTTCCCCCAACTTAATTAAATTGTGATAATGAGCCTCTTTGTTGTTCTTGTTTTCCCCTTCATTAGAGGAACTGATGTGCAACCTGTATGTGATTTAGGGGAATAGGTTCACACCGTCTCAGGTGTATATTACCACCCCACCTCCACCATTCCAGCCTCCACAGTCCCTTATCATGGGACCTTATGCCTCTACCCACCTTTGCTCTTGTCCCCATTTCTCCACCCCTCTAGCAGCCTCAATTCTATGGTCATATTTCTGGGTTTATTTTGGTCTAGTTTTGTCAATTTCTTTGTTTGTTTTCTCTATTTTTCACATGAGTGAAATCATCCAGTGTTTGTCTTTCCCCTTCTGCCTTATACTTATTTCACTTAGTATAGTCCCCTTCAGTTCCAGCCATGTTGTCGCTAATGACAAGAGTTCATCTTTAAAAAAAAAAACTGGGTCCTCCCTGGTGGCACAATAGGTTATGACTCAGCACTACAGGTGAGCCATAGCTGCTTCAGTGCAAGTTCGATCCCCTGACCCAGAAGTGACCCACATGGCATAGCAGACCTCTTCTGACCTGCCCTCTGCTCCCCTCAGCAGTTTACTTGCCTTTCTGCCTTTTCTGCTCCATTCTGTCTTGGGTGAACCCTCTCACTGCCCCTGCCCCTCTGGCTTGTACCCCAGTTCTGTATGCATAAATAAATAAATTTTTAAAAAATACACAAATAAATAAAAAATTTAAAAAAATAACTGAATAGTATTCCATGAAGTGTGTATACCATATCTTCCTAATCCATTGAGACCCATTGGTCATCCTGAGATAGAATGTTGAGTCTGGATTTCTGGGTTTTAATCTGTTCTAACAAGAATACAGGAAACATGAAGTATTGGGTCCTCTTTGCAGCTCAGGTGGTCCATCAGCCCACATGAATAGCATGTGCCCTGTGCCTGAGGGCAGGGGAGCCCAGTCTGTCATTGCCACCACTGACTTTTTACCCAAACCTGTCTCTGTTCACACCTGCAATGAAAAGCTTCCCACTCAGGCACCCATTCACCACTAATGAAGTGTGAAGATAACCCGGAAGCAGTAGTTCTCTGATTTCTACTTCTCCCCTTCTACAGGCAGCTCTGATATAACTAGGTAATTGTGGAGAAATAAAAAATGCTTTAAATCAATAGTACTGGCTTCAAGCCTCACCAACTATGTGACTTTTAATCTTACCAATTATAATTTGCTTTGAGAATTCTCAAAAAAAAATGCAGAGAATAATCCATATTCAAAGATTAGGAAGAAAAAAATGTAAGCAATATATAAATGAAAGTTATCATTCTGAGGCCTCTTGATATTTTTCCTCCCCTTTGGGCAGATTTCTGGAAAAGAACAAAGAGCCAAAAGTGCCATGTGGATTGACTGTGGACTCCATGGCAGAGAATGGATCTCTCCTGCTTTCTGCTTATGGTTTGTCGGTTATGTAAGTCTTCATTCTTTAAACCAACTTCTAAATATGTGTTCTAAGACTGCCCATGTCAAAATCAAAAGGGCTGTTTATTAAAATGCATTTTCTCAAGTCACAGCCTAAAATTTTTGTCTTAAAAAAAATCTTTGGAGGTGAGGCTTGGGAATCTAGTTTATGTTCATAGACTTTCCAGGTGACATTTGTGCACATTAAGTTTGAGAATCATGACTGTGAGCATTTGAGGCACCTTGAATATTGTTGACCTTTCTCTTCCTATATTTCTGGCTGGAACTAAATACTGGGAAGGAATTAAGAAACAGTGTGTGGTTGCAATATGTCTGCTAAGTAGAAGAAAGAGCTGAAGTAATGTTCTAAATTAGGCTCCAATTAATTTCTTCTTCTTTTGAATTATCTAAACATTTTTCGCCATATCCTTTTGGAAAATGAACAGAAGGCACAACACTCCTGACATATCATATTTTTGCATGTGTCATAATAAAGGGTTTTGTCCTTGAAGAAGGCCATGCTGTTAAAAAAAATCTATATTTAAGACAAAGAGGAAGTCATAAAAAGACAAAGAGTATGTCATCAAAGTAAATATTCTTAATGACTGTGATCCTTTATAATAAGTGAAAAGTAAGAATTGTGCTTCAAGTTTTATAAAATGGGCATATATATATCCTCTACTGATTTTTACAAACAGCCATTGCCACTGGAAAAACAGCTTAAAATATGTGTTCTTCTGATAATGGTTATTGTCTCTGTATTCACAGATACATGATTACACAAAATAGAGGAGTTAGGAAATTAACAGATTGCTGGTTAGACTGATTTGACTTTACAAATGAGGTACATCAACTGTAAAGAATGTTTCTCCCCCTGCTGGTTCTGACAGACAAGTTATTTGCCTAAGATTTTCTCTACCCACCCAGGGTTGCTGCCTCATCCCTGAGCCTGTTCAGTCATTCCCAGCCACCATGGCTACTGCCCTGACCAGGCAAATTTGGTTCCAACAGACCCTTAACGCAACCCAGTCATGTGAGGACCTGGAATCTTCCCAAGTTGATTAGCTTTATTCTTTTTAGCATGGAGCAGCAGTTAATGGAGAGAGAAAAGTGAAAACCAAGAGAGACAGAACATTAATTTTTCATTTCATCACTAAACTTGAAAAGGGCCAGATAGACAGATTGACAACTCCATTTCACATTGTTAGGAGAGAGTCAGGACAACAGCTTGTCCCCTATTTCTGTCATTCTCAACATGCCTCTTCTCTCCTACCGTACATGCTGCCTTTGACCCCAGCCACTTGCTGGAGTCACTTTTTTCCCACAAATACTTATTAATTGCCAATGAGGTTTCCAACCCTAAAGGTATTTTGCTATAAATCAGAGCTTCCCAAGACCCCTTCCTCAGTTTTGATTAGTCTCCTAGAATGGCTCACTGAATTCAGCAACAGCTTACTTATTATTTACCAGTTTATTATGAAAGGCTAAGGTAATGGGTATAGATGAACAACCAGGTTGAAGGGAAACACAGGATAAGTTTTAGGAATGGGGGTCCCTCCATGTTCTTTCTGGGTGCAGCACTCTCCCCTTTCCTTCATGTGTTTAGCAACTAGAATCTTCCCAAATCCTATATATATATATTTTTTTGTGTGTGTGTGTGATTCCTATAGGGCTTCATTATGTGTTGATAATAGATCATTAACTCAACTTCCAGCCCCTCTCTTCTTCCTGGAGAATAGGGGCAGAGGTGAAAGTTCCAAAGTTCTAATCATGGCTTATTTTTTCTGTTGACCAATACCAAACCAGGTGTCCACCATGACTCTCCTCATTTGAACAAAAGACACTGTTTCAGCCAGAACATTCCAAGGCATTTCTGAACTTTACATCAGGCACAGGAGATAGAGACCAATAGGCAAGTTTTCTATTTATTCACAATCTCTTGTTCACTTTTCAAGCTTAGTTAGGATTTTTAAAGCCCTTAGTTCCAGCTCAGTGAACGGAAACTCAGTATACAATACTCTTGGGAGCTTGAGGGCAATCCTTTCTCTCTATGCCTCTTACTCATCCTTGGGAGGCCAAATTTAAATGCCTTCTAGTTCTTCAAAGGCAAGGGTGAGACGGACTTGTGCATGACTGTGTCACCAAAGCCAAACCCAGATAGGGTTTGAAACATCATCGGCAACCAGTTAAGACATACTGACCAGGACTTCACTCAGTACTTTGTTGGCCAACTGGCTTTTCTTACTGATAACCGTCGTCTAAACCTCTGCCCTGGAAAACTCTCCTAACTGCACACAAAGCTGGCACTCGACCACCTCAGGACCTCACAGAATTCTCTTTTGTTCCTCATCTTAGTTGGCATGTGACTTGTGAAAGATATTGCTTCATACTTGTATTATCCACTGTGCCAAGGGACATTCTCCTGCCCTAATATAGCCAGTGCTCTCCCTCTCCCCTGAAACCCATGATCTAATCTGGTTGTAGCATCTTGGTACTTTCTTATTCTGTCTTATTTTGACCTCTAGAAAATTCCCTGGAATCTAGCACATGGCTGTTTCCCCTCCTCCAACTCTTGTCATCGTGGTGAGTGAATCCAAAATCCTTATGTGAGACCATCTAACAAATCATCTTCTCAGCTCTTAAACTCTGTTCTGCTAAGCCTAACCTCAAGTCTATTTTAGTGAATTTCTTCCATGGCCTTCCTCTGGATCTCAGAAATAATTTTCCCTGACCTTTACTTCAACCCAGAATATGGCCGCAGATGAGACTAGGAAGGACAGAACCACTTAACAATCTGCCTTCTGAATTTTCTTTCCTTCCACTTTCCTTACTCTTCACAACTGCTGTGGCATAATTTCAGTAAATTTCAAGTCCCTGGATATATCTCACCCTTCTAAATTATCACCTCCTTTCTTGGAGTCTCTTCTTTCACTAACTAGCCCGAGTCAAATCACAAACTGCCTATTTGTACATATCCTGAATCTGTCACCTGTTAGCCTTCCTTCAAATGTTCCAGTCTGAAACACTCCATAGAATTCTCCACCCTCTTTTGAACTGCCTCACATGTCCTGATTTTGTTATCATACTTAACATATTGAGTTGTTTTATCTTCCTTCCCAACATAACATTTTTCTTAGTTGTTTAATATTGAAGATCATCTCTAAAGTAATTTTATGTTCCCATAACCTAGTATATTGGTTGATCCATACATTCAGTGATCAATATCTTCTTGTTTAATATGACGTTTAAATGAATGAGCAGGTTTAGACTGAAAAACAACTATGAGCCAGAAAATACCTGAACACTACCTATTGGCTAGCTAAGTATTTTATTGCCATTAAAGTTCTGAATTGTACATCACACATAAATTGGAATAAAACTGGAAATTCCAGCTCTTTGTTATATTTCTTTTTTTTTTTTTAAAGATTTATTTATTTGTGCATACACAACTGGGGTACAGGCCAGAGGTGCAGGGGCTGTGAGAGGCTTCACCAGAGACAGTGGGGAGCAGAACAGGCAGATCGAGGAAGTACACTGCTGAGGGGAGCAGCGGGTGGGTCAGGAGAGGTCTGCCACGCCATGTGGGTCACCTTCCGGGCTGGGGGTGGGGATCGATCGCACACTGAAGCTGCTGCAACTAGCTTGCAGTGCTGCTTTTTAACTGATTGCACCACCAGGGAGGGCCTCTTTGTTATATTTCTAAGGGTAGTAAGAATAACATTTTATTTTCAGATCTTCCATTTGTAGTGTCTTATATTCCTAATGTACTAATTCATTCTCTGTATAATGGTTTCAAGTTAACTTGTTGGTAGGTATTGTTGTTTAGGACCATAGTAAAGGCCATAGGCATAGCGAGGTGCAGAGCTGAGAAATCATCTGTCACAGGCCCTGCTGATAGGAATCAGTCCAGTCTCTTTCTCCCATCCCGTAATCATTCACTTACTGTGGCGCTCTGCTCTGGCACGAGCCTCATCTTTCTTATTTTTATAATAGGAAAGTGATTTCCACTATGTTACTTTTCTTGTTGGCAAATCATTTCCTGAAAAATATTTATTGTCTTTTGTGGGTCAGGCATAATTTCTGCAGTCAACTAACTCATTAGGAGTGATTCACTCATTAGCTATAAAACCCTAACAGTAAACACATTTACAGAATATTATTGTGAAAATTCACTAAATAATGCATGCTTGGAGAGCGCCAGAACACACAGATGAAAACGTAATAGTAAAGAATTACTAGATTCATGCACATGTTCAACTTGGCCAAAATGTTATCTTAAATTTTTCATTTCTTTCAACAGATCAATGGGATTAAGTCAGAATTGTTACACTGATATCAATATAAAATCATAAAATTCTGAGAAAAAAACCATAGGTGTAGTACATCTTTGTGACTTCAGATTAGGCAGTGATTTATGATATGACACCAAAAGTACAATCACAACAGAAAAAGGTATATAAATAGTTCTTTACTAAAAAGCATAAAAATTAAAAGAAACTGTTACAGGGCACCTCAATTCTGTTAGAGGATAGGGGGAAAGGGGTACCCCTGAAGCCCCCAAATCCTGCCTGCTCTAAGTGGGTTCTGCCATCTGCTGCAACAAGACAAAACATATAAAAGGGACTTTAACAGTGAATATACAATACGGAACACAAAGAATATAACTTCTAAATCGAACACCTGAAGTTACCCTTCCCCTCTTGGGCAAAAGTCAACCCAAAAGGATTGGCCCAAAGCAAGGCCTGAAAGCTGCCACAAGACTAAAGCACCTTCTGGCAGGGACCCATGGAAAAGGGTCAGACATGGCCAGACAAATCTGGGAGCAAAAGAGCAAAATCAAAATCAATATAAACACTGACATAGTCACCTCCCTACAGGTGTCTCACCCACATCAGCCTTAGCCAGTCCAGTGTCAGGAAACAAGCCTGGTTTCTTCATCACATGCTTGCTGCTCCATGTGGCTTCCTTAGGTCTCTGTCCTGTTCTCCATCCAGCTTCATTCCCTTCTCTTCTCTCCTTTTTCTCTGCTCAGCTCTACCCTCCTTCTGGGTGGGGCAGGGAACCTGGAACTTCCCTTTTTCCTAGGGACCACCCTGTTACAAAACTACCTTTCCTCGTTGATTAAAATTCAGCAAACATTGTAGAAATGAAAATGATGAGTGCTTTATTATTTTTGAATGAAATATGATCTCCTAGTATTTTTCTGATTATGAATATTAATACTGAAAAATAACTCCAACATAAATTTGTAGCATAAAATGTATCTAATTAGTTTTTCAATTATTTAAAATATTGTTCTCTCAGTCTATAAAATGTGCTTCCTCTTTATTAAGCTTTCATTTCTGTCCTGTAATAGATTTATAAATAACTTCTCCCTTGCTTTCCTTTCTCTCATATTTCGTAAGTGGTATTCATCGCAAATAATTTTGTTGTGACTTATGATTGTTCTAGGATAATATGAGTAAATATTTAAAGAGTAAATGGTAGTTTTAGCTATTGCTAACATAGAATTAAAACTTTGTCAATAATGAGATCTTTTGAATAAAGAAACAAATAACTATAAGCTATCTACAAACTGAAATACAGCAATGTTGCCCCAAGTGGAAATGTTATATCAAAGCTTGGTTGAAGTTAATGACTTAACAATTGAACTTTATCTTTGTGGTTCTTTTTCTTTATAATTGTTTCTTGTTGGGGAGAACTTGGTCATCAGAATTAAGTGCTTTTGGATTGTGTGGAAATGTGTGACCTTTAAGCTGGAGGAGTCTACAGCAGAGGGCAGCATCTGATGCTGTCTGTTGGGAAGCACAGAGCTAATGCCCAGGGAAAGCTGCCACTTAGTCCTGTGCCTAATGAACAGGAAACATACTTAATTGTGACAAAAAACTAACTACTACATTCCCTACTTTAATAAGCAGATATCATTATATCAAAGACCAGGGTGGAGTGGGTACCTCTTATTTTCAGTTTTTGTAAGTAAACGCTTGTAGTGTTTGAAAACTTTTTTCACTACTCACTTTCTTAAAACTGGTATAGATATTTGAACAAGCATGTGGACTGTAGCTAGGATTTTTGTTTCCTTAAATCTTTACATTGGGTTTTATGACTTTAATAAGTTCTTTTTGTTCCTTAAAGAAATTTTAGAAAATTTCTGGCTCTATGGGCCAGCGGGTTAAAGTGCAGCCAGTTAAAGCGCAGCACTGCAAGTGAGCTGCAGCCACTTCAGTGCTAGTTGGATCCCGCCCTGGAGGTGCGCACATGGCGAGGCAGACCTCTCCTGTCTCTCCTGTCTCTCCTGTCTCGCCCACTGCTCCCCTCAGTAGTGTATTTGGTCAGTAGGCCTGTTCTTCTCCCCACTCTGTCTCTGGTGAATCCTCTTACCCAATCCCCACCCCCACACTTCTGGCATTTACCCCAATTTTTATATGCATAAATAAATAAGAGTCAATCTTAAAAAAATAAAAATGAGAGGCTGTATGGACTTCAAAAAGATATTACTAAACATACTTGTTTTAATTTGTAGGTAACTCAGTTCTATGGGAAAGATAAGCTATATACCAATCTCCTGAAGCACATGGATTTCTATGTTATGCCAATAGTTAATGTGGATGGTTATGACTTCACATGGAAAAAGGTAGGTGAAGGCAAAGAAAGCAAAAGATGCTCCCTTTAAAGACATAAGATGCACAGACTGAAACTATTCATAGACTTCTAGACCTTGGTACAATGATTTTATAATGAAAAACAACTTTAAAAATTTATAATATGGAAAAGTTCAAACATATATGAAAGTGGAAAAAATAGTAAACTCTAATATACCCATCACATGGCTGCAACAATACTCAACTGATGGCCAATCTTTTTTCCTCTGTGTCCCACAATCATTTCTGTCTTTCTTATATTATTTTGAAGCAAAATTCTGACACCATACCATTTCATCAATAGATATCTAGATATGCATTTATAAAAGAGGTCTTTTAAGGAAAAATAGCCACAGTATAAATTATACCTAAAATTGAATATTTACTTGTATCATAAAATGGCCTATTGGTATCAAATCTCCAGTTGTATCCTAACTTTATTTCTTTGATTCTGAATACAATAAAACATGTATGTTATGGTTGGTGTTTATGACCCCTAATTCCATTTTAATCCGTACAGCCTCTTCCCAGCTCTCTCTTTTTACCCACCTTATTTATTGAAGAAAAGTGTTTCTCAGTGTCAAGATTTGCTCATAGTGTTGTCATGTTGCGGTTTGACATTTTTTCTGTGTATTTTCTAAAGTTTGATATTTAGATTGCATATGCTAATCCAGATTTAGGTTTGGCCTTTTTTGGCAAGCCTATTTCATTTTAATAGTGTGTCCTTCCATCAGTAGGTGCATAATGTCTGATTCTATCTCTTTTATAATGTTAGTTACCATTGGCACACAATTCCTAGATCCAGTCATCCCTACTAGGAATTGTTTGAATGACAAGATTTAGAAGTGTTTTACAGAACTTGCATTCAAACAGAATTGCCTTCTAAGTTTTATGTGAATTTAAACGTTAGTGCTCTTTACTAGGTACTTAAATTAATACTTATACTCAACATGAGCATAAATATGAGTATCCTGGTCAACTCATCTATACTGGCAACCATTATCCATGGTATTTCTAGTCCATCAACATCATGGTTCATGTAAAATTACTCAAGTAATATGAAGTACAATCCTTTCTAATTTAATGAAGTATACATAAAACATAACTGAGCATATGTAAGTTCAGAAAAACCTACCTGAATAGCAAATATAGACACTAAGGAGGATGAAAATAATTGGAGCTATTGGAAACATAGGATTATCAGAAATTATTTCATTTAGGATATAATTTGTGGAGTAGAGATGAGAATAGTGGAGAAGATTGATGAAAAGTTAGCTCAGGTTAGAAGAATACTGTGCATAAAATATTGCAAGTGGTCATTGACAAACCTTTTACAAAGATGAGAAATACCTAATGTAGTACAAATATAATTTCAGTAAATGGCCACATTCATGGGTGTTATAATAGTTATGCCTTTATCTGAATCACTGTGGAACTTAGCCCCTCTCCCCTTAGATAGATGCTCCTATCCAGCTGTCCTTTGTATTTTAACTCTCTATGTAGCTTTCTCCAGGGCAATTGTTGATACTGAACCACAGACCAGGAGTTGGAAGTTTGCAAAGCTTGGCAAAAGGTTGGTGAGAGTAGTCTAAAGGAATGCCACATCACCCAAATCCAGAACTTCAGTGAAGTCTGTGTAACTGTTTAGATGAACATATTCTTCAGCTTACTCCCAGAATCCAATGGGGGAGTTTACTTCATGTTTAAATACCATGGTTAAATCAGTATTAGGTTAAATTAAATTAAATTAAAGGAGCCATCGGGCTAGAGATATATGCACTGGTTTACCTCCTGTTGTTTTTAGAGATTGTCAAATTCAATTTGAAGAGAGCATTGAAACCTATGACTCCACAATATTACATTATAATCATCAAATCTGCTAAGAGACTGGATCATAATTATTTCCACCACAAAAAAAGAAATGATAATTATGTGACATGAGGGAAATGGTATCTCTACCATGGCAATGATGCCATAACAAATGCATGTATCACATCAACGTGCTGGAACACCTAAGATTACTGGAATATCCTATGCCAATATATTTCAATTTTAAAAAGCTCATGATTCAAAATTTTAGTTTAAGTTGAAATGCAGAATAATTTTGCTTTTCTTAGATGAACTCAATGTGACAATGTATAGCATTAATTTAAAGGAAACAAGATCAAATAAGGAGGGTATAGCGAAACAGTATAGCAAAACCAAATGAATTTTTATGTGTATAGATCAAATATTATGATTTTGCTTGGTTCAAGAGTGACCATGACCAACACTTGAATAGACAGGGAACAGGGTTGGAGAGAAACACAGTGCAACCATTTGCACTTCGAATGTTGTCTTTCCTTGAATATCCAGTGGACACCTATTTCATCTGTATTTTTTTATTTAGGATCGAATGTGGAGAAAGAACCGTTCTTTTCATGGAAATAGTTTTTGCGTTGGAACAGACCTGAACAGGAACTTTGCCTCCAAACACTGGTGTGGTAGGTTTTTACTTCAACTCTAGCAATGTCTTGTTATTAAAATGGTGATATTTGTAAAAGAAAAACCCATTAATTCAAACAAGCAGGGGAGGTCTCTCTAAATCAGGAAATAGTTTAAGTAATACAAATTTTATTTAAATGAAATATAAATACTGGCTAAAGCCAGCAAATCACCTCAGCCCCTTCTCCCTTTCCTTTCCTCTTCTTTAAAATATGGAATTTGGACCAGTTCTTTAAGGTCCCTTCTAATTCAAATGCTAAACTCTAAATTTCAAAATCTCAAATTCTATTTTTCATATTCTAAAATTCTATTTTTCTAGAATCATAAGAAAACAACTGCATTTTCTACTTTAATAATTTCAAAGACCAGGGTTGGAGGGTGCCTCTCATTTCCAGGTATTTAAATAAATCTTTATAGTGTTTGAAACATTTTCTTTTGTGTTCACTACTCACTTTCTTAACAAATTCCCACAGACTGGGAAGCTTAAGCAAGAAAGGTTTATTCCTTGCATTCTGGAGGCTGGAAGTCTAAGATTAAAGAGCCAGCAGGGTGGATTCTCTGTGTGCATATAACCCTGGTTAATGTCTCTTTCTTCTTGGAAGGAAGAGACTTGTCTAAGTGGAAAATCACACACCAGATTTTGAGGATTTAATCTCAGAGGACATGAAAATCTGATGATTGCAAGAGGGGAAAGAGAAGGGAGTTAGGGGAGAGGTGGTCATTTTGATAGTGTGATGGCCCAAGAACTTGGGTAGAGTTTGTGGTGAGACATAGGCACATAGCAAGTTTTGAAGATGCCCTCCTGAAATTGATTTAATAAACAAAATGGCAAAGCAATAAAATTTCATTTAAGAAGATTTTTGAAAACTTAGTATGAAAAAGTCATTAGCCATTCAACGATATCTTAGCAATTTTTATATGGTTTATATTTGAAATGATAATACTTTGTACAAATTGGGTTAAGTAAGCTATAGTAATTAAGTTTTACCTGTTTCTATTGTAAAGCAATTGCTTGAAAACTTAAATATGGCATATGCATTATAATGCTATTGCATATCTCTGGTTTGAGAGCATATATGAGGGCACCACCTTTCCTTTCAACTCTTTCCTATTCTTCCTTATCTCTATCCCTAGTTAAAATCTCTATTCTCTAGAATTATAATCAGAGGAAAAGAGCAGTATTCAAAATGAACTAAACTGGTTTGTCCTGTCATATTATTTTAATATTAGCACAAATAAAATGCATAGAAATACCTTAGATGTTTGGCACAATCTTTCCTTGTGGGGAAAAGAATGTTTAACAATCATGAAGACTGTTTCCGTTGCAAATAAAAGGAAGAAAGCAAACTTAAGTAAGACAGAAATACTCTGTAAGGATAATGGAGCAGCCCATGAAACTTAAGGACAGGGATGCAGCTGAACCTCCAAAATAGATGAAACAGGGCAGGGAGTGGGGTAGAGGGCTCAGCTGGGTCTTTTCCCATCTCATCTCTGTGTCATGCATGACTCTGTTAGAGTCCGGATGCATGAGGATGATGATGAGGACTGCTAAGACAATGAGAAACAGTTCCTGAACACTTAGAACATGCCATGTGCTGTGTGAAGTATTTTATATGCACTAGCTCATTGAATCCTCATTAAATCCTCATTTTTCCATCTCATAGTTAAAGAAATTGAGGTATAGATGAGTGCAAAATTCACCCAAGGCCAGGTAGCTGTTAAATGGCAAAGCCAAGATTGGAATCAAGTGGTTGGGTGCTAACCAGTATGGCATTAGCCTCTTATTATAAAGCATGAGTGCTGCCAACAGTGTCCAGTTTGCATCTCTTCAAATAACAGTATTTATTTCATAGGGTTGTTGTGAGGATGAAATGAGATGTTACTTGTAAATGTTAGCACAGTTCCCAACATACAGCCTCCCCTGGGGGTGTCAGCTGGCAGTGTTACCACTGCTAACCTTTTAGTCTAAGAGAGCAATTGGATTGAGACTACAATATTAGTCTCTATTTGAGTGAAGAGATTCAGGTTAGCTGAATAACTGACAACAGAAGACCCCAATTAAGGGTTAATCTGTGATGTCCAGGACAGAATCGTCCTTTGGTCAGAGGGGGGTCCCTGGGGCTCCACCTCTGTGAATTTAGGACACAAAGAAGAATGTTGTGAGTGGGGCTACCATCCAAAGTCATGTATACTATAATCTCCTAAAGGCATGAATAAAAATTATACTGGCACCAAATATCACCATCCTGTTTTATATACTAAATCACATTGGCAAGTTAGAAGGCGCACTGTTGGCTGATTTGCATATTCTGAGTTCCCAAATGAGATTTTTCGTTTACAGGCTATAATAACTAGTAATTTTTAAAACAGAATGTATCATGAAAACCAAATTTAGAGTGGATTAAGGAAAATGGGCTTCATTTTTCTGACATGGGCACAGGTTTGGTGGCAAGACAGACATCTCTGGGGCTCTTACCCAACTTCTTAAGTTTGAAGATGGCTGTCCTGAGGCAGCACTGTTAGGGTGCTGTGTGAGTAGATAATATTAGGCTTTGAACGAAACCCAAAAACCTTTTTTACAGAGCTCTTTCTAGTCTACTCACAGAAAATTGTTATACTATAGAAAGGGAGAAAGTATAAGCCAAGGTATATTCCCACAAATTATTATTGTGCATCCCCACACAATTTTGTTCTATCAAATTCACTACAGAGGAAGGTGCATCAAGCTTACCATGCTCAGAAGTCTACTGTGGACTTTATCCTGAGTCGGAACCAGAAGTGAAGGCAGTGGCTGATTTCTTGAGAAGGAACATCAACCAAGTTAAAGCTTACATCAGTATACATTCATACTCCCAGACCATCATATTTCCATATTCTTATAGTAGAACCAAAACCAAAGACCATGAGGAACTGGTAAGTGCTGCTTACTTCTTTTCCTCAATTGTATTTCAGAAATAAAATCTGAATTCAGAAATGAAAAACTAAATTTGAGGGAAAAACTATTCTCTAGAGGATAAATGGATATGCCTTTTGCAATGCTATTGACAGTCTTCCTGGGACAGGGTTTGTTACAGGGCAGGGAGAGGGGAATCCCTGAGCCCCCAAACCTGCCCACTCTAAATAGGTTCTCCCATCCACTGCAGAAAAACAAAACATATAAGACCTTCAATGGAAAGGAATTTTAATATAATCAGTGTGCCATTCAAACAAGACAAAAGATATAGTTGCCTTTTTTTTTTTTTTAAGATTTATTTATTTATTGGTACAGAACTGGGGTACAGGCCAGAGATGCGGAGGGTGAGAGGATTCACCAGAGACAGAGCAGGGAGCAGAACAGGCAGATGGAAGAAGTACACTGCTGAGGGGAGCAGCGGGCGGGTCAGGAGAGGTCTGCTGCACTATGTGGTCACCTCTGGGGCAGGCGGGAATCGAACTCATGCGGAAGTGGCTTTAGCTTCTCAGTGCTGTGCTTTAACCCGCTGCGCCACCAGGGAGGGCCAGGATATAGTTTCTAAATCAAACACACAAAATTACCCATTCCCTTGTGAGTAAAATTCCACCCAAATGGGATTGGCCAAAATCAAGGCCCGAAAGCCTGCAACAAGTCTAAAGCAACTTCTGGCAGGCACCTATAGGAAAGGGCCAGAAACAGCCAGATGAGTCTGGGGGGAAAAGAGCAAAATCAAAATCAAGATAAAAGCTGCCATTGTTAATCTCCCCTCAGGTCTCTCATACACATCTGTTTTAACCAGCCCCAGACCAAGAAACTAGAGCCGCTTCTTCACATGTCTCTTGGCCCCCTGTGCCTCCCTCAGGTCTCCTTTGGGCTCCCTGTCCTGCTTCCTTTTCTAGTCTCTTTTCTCTAGCCTTCTTCTCCTTCCAGCTCAGCTCCACCCTCCTTTGGGTGGGGCAGGGAACCTAGAAACTCCCCTTTTCCTGTTACTGGTTCACTGAGGAGCTGTAAAGAATGGGGCCTTCCCCTGGAAAAATGAACTTGAGTCCAGCAGATAGGTTCCTAAGCAAATATCAGACAAGCTTCTTGAAGGTGAGGAGGGAAGGTTTCCAGCTGGACCTGATTTATATGTGAAGCCATATGTGGGTCTCCTAATCCTAAACCATCTGTTTGGACACCATTTTTTTGTAACCTGCAGTTCTGCATACCTGTACAAGTTCAGAACTGCCTGGTCAATGAGTCACAGGGCCACATCTTACAAGGTGCCTTTCAGATCAATCAAGAGCAGAAAGCTTGTTCATTTTGGGAAGGCCATGCATCATGGGGTATGACTGGGAACACCTGGGGGTTGGAGGACTGATGCATAAGCTTACTCCTGACTTATATACATCAGGAGGTATAGGGGAGAGGGATGAGGAGCATGTATTACAAGGGACTCCAGAAACTGACCAGTGGAAAATCTTGTTGATAAGATTGAAACCAAGGCTGGGATCTAGTGCTTGATCTCAGTTACAATGCCAAATCAACAAGCAGATGAGTGCCTGGCAGGCAAATTCACAACACCTGGCGCTCTGGATGACAACATATTTTCTAGTCTCACCTCTCCCTTTTCTCACCTCTCCCTCCCAACTGATGCTGTATGATTATTCTATCCATACAAAGGCCAGGACCTTGCTCTTAGGCAGTATCCTGCATCCTACAGCCTGCTCCATATATAAAGGACAGACAAGGACAAGAATCTCCGCCATTGTGCATCTGCTTTGAGGTCACTAACTTTCTACAATGCCACCATGGATCCAGTCTCAGATAACATGCATCCCTTTGGTATTTGCATCAGGGTTTATTTATACACTGATTTCCTCAATCCCAAAGTGTCTGGTCCTTTTAAAATCTCCTTCAATTTCAACACTGGGGGAGGAACTATCTTTAATTATATTTTTTATTATAATGGCACACAGTCTGCAACTTCCCCAATCACATTTGGTCCCAGATGTTGTATATTTGGCCTGATGGCAAAGGATGCAGGGTGCTTGATGGATTGTGCTTAGGCTTAGCCAAATCCTCACTCCAGATGCTTTTCAGACATTAGAAGTATTATGGCAATAGTCCAATGATTGTCCAAAATCTGATCATAATATAGAGCTTAGCTTCATACTGATTCATATTTGTTCCGACCTGATTAACAGAATAAACTGTAGCCACATCAGAAGCTAGTGATTTCTGATAACAAATATATGGCTATTTGTATTTTCTGTATTCTATATTTTATTTAGAATATAAATGTGCTTGATACTTGTGATTTACCTTTTTACTCAAAGGAAAAATTTTTAAGAAAACCTCTTTTATTGGTATTATTTTTGAAGAAATGATAGACTATTTGTCATGATTTGGAAATAGCATTAATCAGATTTTGACTTATTTGCGGTAGATTGCTGTTTTCACAACTATTTATTGAAAGCTGTATGTGTAAAGCACTATGTTCTATAGACACTGAAAGAGAAATTAGTTAGGCTGCTGCTCTTTAAGAACATGACTATATGGCTAGGGAATTCAGTCACAGCAGATGTTACCAATAGCTGTATCAGAGGTGTGCTAATTGGTAAGTAACACAGATGGTAGAACTGACTTCTGAATTTAGCAAAGTCTGGTTTCATTAATTTATTCAGAAAAAATACTGATTATGTGAGGTGATCAAGTTCTTGTGTTTGAGAAATTTGTATTTGATTAAGGGGTGGCATACAGTAAAAAAAAGAATGACAGAATGATATTGATATCAAGAAACAGATGCAGTTTTAACCAGACCTTGAAAGATACGACTTTTTCAGGCAGGCGGAGAAAGGAGGACAGTTCAAACTGAGGAGGTAGTATTTCCCACAGGAAGTTGTTCAGGGGATGTGAGGGTATGGAAGTGAAAGATGACACTTTCAGAAAGTAAGTGGGGTCAGCTTATGAGGAGGTCAGCTTATGACACCTTCAGAAAGTAAGTGGGGTCAGCTTATGAGGAGGTCAGCTTGTCTAGGTTTCAGAATAAATTTGCAGTTTATTCTGTAAATGATGGGGCCCACTAAGATTTGGTTTTGAGTGAAGGAATGGCACAACAAAATATTTATTGACATTCCTCTGGGTAATTTGAGGATGATAATGAATATCAAAATGTTAATTCTGACTTCAGAAAAATATGAGTAAGCTATGAACAAATCCAGTAGAATAGGGAAATTAGTTATTATCCTGTTCCATACTAAGTTATAATATTTATTGGAGGAATCCTTTGGAGTTACTATATCTGACATAAGAAGAAAAATTTTTGAGAAAACAAGAAGGAAATCATGTATTCATTAGGTATACATATTGTGTTTATAAATGCAGTTTAGAGAAACTGCATTTAAATTTTGGTGATAATTTGTCAGGAATAGTATAACCCCAACTTGCTTGCATTTGAGATATAGTTATGCTGCGTTTTACAAAATAAATGAATTTCTTAAAAAGCATGAGAATTATTTACCTTTCAAATTAAATACAATTTTTAGTATGCTGGAAGAGTTTATACTTTAAAGCCATCTAGTTGTGATTTCTATAAGTGAACATTTTTTTAAAGATAATTTTCTTCTTAATTTCCCTTTAGACAAATCTAGAATTTTGTGCCTATAGATCTTTACAATTTATTGAGCTAATGGATGTATTACTGTGTAAATATGATGTGTACAATGTGATGATTTGACAGTATAGACTGTGAAACAGGTTAGCTAACATGTATCCATCATCTCACAAAATTATCTTTTTCTTTTGTGAAAATATTTGACTTATTTGTTTAGCAATTTTTAAGTATATGACACAGTGTATTGTTTTACTAGGTTACCGTACTGTATACAGATTCCCAGAAGTTAGACATCTTAGAGGTGGAAGTTTGAAGCCTTTGACTGACATCTCCTTAGCTACCCATCCTTCTCCCTTCTACTCTGCAAACAGCTTTCTACTATGTATTTCTTCATAGAGTTTGACTTAATAAATGTATCAGTGTTTACAAACTTCTACCTGTCCTGTTTTAAAGCTGCAGATTAACTGAAATTTTATATTCTATCGAGTTCAGTCGCTGCTGGCTAGTGAAGTGGCCCGTGCTATCCAGCGTACGAGTAAAAATGTCATATACAAACATGGCAGAGGTTCAGAAAGTTTATGTAAGTAGTTCTTAAGATACTGCATAACTGTGAGTTCTGAAAAATACCTATCTGTTTGGTTTTCTTGTGTATATTTAATTTTTCAAAGTGCAACATTGAGGCAGAGCCCCATGTGAAATAATTGGATTATAACAACCAGAAATGGAAGTGGAAGCATAATAGTTATGACAATGCTAAACAAGACTATGTTAATAAATGTATGTTCCCCAAAAGGTTGAAATGACATTTAAGATTATAGAATTAGCATCACATTATTTAAGTGAAGCAGAAAGGTCATAAAGTATCGATATATATATATATATATATATATATAAGATGACCATGGCCACCATTATCAATTAGTACAGCTTGGAAGCTATATAAATCTAGGGAACACTATTTACATTAGATGTTCTTTAGTGCCGGGCTGTGCCCAAGAGTACAACCCATAATAATGTAGTAAAATGTCTTTTGTGTGAATCACACTGTTGAGGGTTGGTATGTGGCAAACTTAACTATATTTTAAATTAATTTATACTGGAAGATATTTATTGAGTGACTCCATCGCCTTTAGTGGAATGAGAGACTATGATTTTGCACTTTTAGGGCTGGAGAAGATGGAAGAAGGGGAGCATAAATATCACATATAACAAGTTTAGCAAACTGAGACTGTAAGGTTATATTCAGCCTCCTGTTTGTTTTTGTTATAATCTGTAAGTTAAGACTGGTTTTCTATTTTTTAATGATTAGAAAAATCAACAAAAGAATAAAATTTTTTGACACGTGACAATTATGTGAAATTTAAGCCAGTGGGTTTCCTTTAATAGGTATCATCTGCAGAAGCATAAACAGTAACATTCCCATTATTTTCAATAAATTGTTTAAATGACAGAGACCCTATTTGTAGAAAGTCTAGAATGTTCCTCTTCCTCTCCAGTCACAAGCTGGCCAAGCTAGAGTCTGAGGACAAGCTGGAGTCAGCTTAGTCAATGTGGTGTATCTGCTTTTTGTTGTCACCAGCCCACTACTGTCTTTATTAACCCAGGTCCTCAAACTGTTATACAGGAAACCCACAAATTCCTTTCACAATTCAGAACTATCCAAGGATTCCCATATTTTTTACTATTGTCTCCCAAAACATAATCACAGTTACATGCCAAAAATAATTAGATAGAAAATAAAATGGAAAACAAAAATTCATTGTCTCCCCTACATATACATGCTATAGTATCCAATTAATAGGGTTGGCTAATTTGGCAAGTTAATTGTTAGTAGCTACAATTTACACAGGGCTAGTAACATTAATCTTTTCTATAAACATTTTATAAAGTAAATCAAGTAGCAAAATGACCAGACAAGTAATCAAATGTATAAACAATAATATATTGGTAATCAAAGAAACACAGATAATTAAATATTTTTCATTTATGCCAGATATGCATACATGGCTAATAACTGAGGGGAAGAGGATATATTTTTAACCAATTAGAGAAGTATAAATTTGATCAATTATTTTGAAGGTTATTTGGCAAAATGTTTCATAATTGTAAAATGTACACCCCTTAGGTTAACAATCTACTGTTAGGAAAGAATATCCTAAAGAAAAAAAGAAGCAAAAAAGTGTAAAATGTATAAAAATGTATAAAAAACGATAGTCATTGTGAAGTTGTTTATATCAATTAGAAAAACAATCTAATGATCTGTAAATACATACATGCATAAACAATTAAATACACTCTATCCAGTTTACCATTGCAATTCTGTGGGAGCAGTAAAAATGATCATGTAAATTTGAACTCCATACATAAAAATTTGTTACTATGTATATGCTTGTGTGTATGTAGCTTGTTCAGAATGATCTTAATTAGGGAAAATGTGAATGCATGCACTGACAAAAAAAAAATAAAGCACTAAAACACATAGGTATTTTTCATTCCTAGGTAAGGTTGTAAATTGGCTTTTATTTTCTTCCTTAACTTTCGATCTCCATTTTCTCCCAGAAATTTAGATTACTTAATAAATAAAAAACTGCAAAACCTCTTTCATCTATAGGGATAAAAAAAATCTTATTGTGCTACTTAATTTAAAAAATGTTATTTCATAAACTAGTTTCTTGTTTTTGTTCTTGTAGACCTTGCTCCAGGAGGTGGAGATGATTGGATCTATGACTTGGGCATCAAATACTCATTTACAATTGAACTTCGAGACAAAGGCAAATATGGATTCTTGCTGCCAGAGAGTTTCATTAAACCCAGTTGTACAGAAGCTCTCACTGCTGTGTCTAAAATAGCTTGGCATGTCGTCAGGAATGTTTAATGTACCTCCCCTTTTTTTTTCCACTCTGCTTCCAGTTTTAATTTGCTGATCCTAATAAGCCCATATCATTGTACTGCTTTTTGTTTTATCAATAGGTTTGATATAAGAATTTCCTATGCTTGGTTTTGTCAAGAAAAAAATAAATGCTATCTTCAAATTAAGTTTTCATTTTTTAAAATTGTTATTATCTATTAGCAGTTAGGCATTGATTTTTTTTTATTCACAACATTTGACTAGCCATCCCAAACAAAGCTCATTGGACCCTAAACAACAAAAGGAAGCTAATCACAAGTACATTAAAGATTTCTGCTTCGCATTTTCAAGAGATTTCTGCTTGCACCTTAATTCTCTTTTTTTAAAGATTTATTTATTTATGCATACATAACTGGGGTACAGGCCAGAGGTGCAGGGGCGGTGAGAGAATTCATCTGCTTGCACCTTTAAAAACACAACCGTGTTGAAGTGGAAGGGGGGCTAGAAAAAAATAAAACTAAACAAAACCACAACCTTGCATTGTGTTTGTTCTAAAATGATAGGCAACTGTGTAGAAAGCTGAGCGGTGTCAAAAGCAGGCTGTCAATAAACACTGGTGAGAGATGAGTGATTGTATTGATAGTTACTTTCCACAACAAATATGGCATTTTGCGCATTTACAACTGCCGTTTACTGTAAGAAATTTCATAATAAAGGACGAAACCCAGTCTCTCTAAAATCACTTTTAACTAGGAATGATGGCTCTCGCAGGCTCCTAGTTTCGTCTCCCGGCATCGTTCACAAGGCGCAGCCGTGCTCATTTTTAATTGCTCTCCAAATCCAGGTTAACCAGGGTGCGGGAGGGAGAAGAGGGGCGTGTCCATTAGGGGCGGAGCCTGTGCGCTGACGACTAATCTGGCAGCCGGAAGCTGCCGCCGTCTACAGCGCTACCGGGTGAACCCTTCACTTCCGGCGGCATTTTGAGGCGGTTCTCTTAGCGGCCTGGTAGCTTTTTCGTCGTTGTTTCCATTTCCCATTCTTCACTCTTTTCCCGGGTCTCGTTTGACCCTGGCGAAGCTACGGGCGGATTTGTCCCGGGGCCTCCTCGCAAGCGTAAGGCTAGTGCCCGGGATCCGCGCGCGCACCTTCTCTTCGTCGTCGTCTTCCCGGGGTCAGGCGCGGGGACGAGATTCGCCTCCCCGCTCCTCGGAGCGGTGGTGGCGGTGGTACCTCTGGACAGCGCTTGCGAAGGGAGGTCGTGGAGGAGGTAAGTGTTCTGTAAATTGTCGTGCGTGTCGCGGGAAAGACGTTTGGCGAAGGTGGAATTTGGAGGCCTTGAGTTGTCCTCTAGCCCCGTTTGGGTTCTGTAGCATTTTACTCTTAACTCTGTGGAAGCTCCGTGTGCTTAGGCCCTCTGTCTCGCCTTCACACTGATTCTGCAGATTTTTTCCGAAGAGGACAAGCTAAATTCTCACAAAAGCCTTAGTCTGGCCACTACCGTTGGATGTGGACTTAGGACTCCTTTCGTGGTATTCGGCGTTTGTGTGCGGTGGAAGGGTGCAGATGAGTATGCGTAGGTTTAGCGACTCCTTTCATGGTTCCGACCAAGTAGAGGAAAGGGTCGGCTTTCAGTTGTATTTCATCTTGCCTTTTTCCCGGCGGTGGTGGTTCAACCATTTAGGTCCATGGAGTTGGGGAGTGCCATTGTTCCTAGATAAGTTACTTTTGCAAACTGTCAGTAACGTGAAAGGTCTAATGAAGTTGGAAAGGGCCTGATGTCAGGCACTATTTCTAAATAGGTTAAGGTAATTCACCTGGTTAGAAAATGTTTTTCAGAGTTAAAGTTACTTGAATGATATTGATAGCATCTTGTTTGCGGAGCGTAGTGTTTTTGTCAATTTCATGGCCAGATTGGAGCAGTTGAACTATGGTGAAAATCAACGGGTGTATGGAATCTGCAGGTTTTTTTTTTTTTTTAAATAAATGATTTTAAAAGTTTTCAAAGACAGATACTATTGTAGCAAATCCAAATGCTTATGCAGCACGTATGTCTGTGGTGCTGGCTAGCAGTCTAGTTCTGCAATATTTGAAATTACTAGCTGTACGTAAAAGAACATTTTGGGTAGTTGTGTGAACATAATCTAGGTTTTCAAATAACTTCTAATTTTTAATGAAATCTTTGGATTATAGCACGACAGTTTCAGCAAGAATCTGGTTATAATTATCTATCAGTTTTTGTGTGTAACAGTTAGACGTTCAAATAAACTTACTGTGTGACTCTGATAGAATCCAATTTTATCAAATACCTGATCTACTGGTTCCTTAATTATTGGTGCGCATTAATTGCATATTAAGATATGCATATTCATACCTAAATTTCTCGTTTTTCTATCTGTAAATTGATACTAAAATCCAACAGGTGGATTCTATTTTGACTTCCGTAAATTGTCAAAATTTTAGCAAGTCATTAGTATTTGTATTGTAATATGCACTGACATTTACATATAGAAAGCAAAGTGTAAAATAAATTTACATTTGTTTGAAGAATTAGTTTTCAGTGGGCGTTAGTTTTCTTCACTTCTCCTAAAGTGGTATATAAAATTGGAGCTATTTCCTCAGATGATTAGTAGCAGCTGGAAATTAGTAGCATTTGGAACTAATTGGTATTGATACCTGATGTGTCTTTTTTGCGGGGTGGGAGTGGGGAGGAGGAGTGTCTCTGCTCTTCTACATTTCACTTCACAGTAGTTGCCAGAAGGCTAGTTTTTATAACATTGCTTTTTCTGGGCAGTGCTGCAGTATTGTCTTAACTGGTCTGTGTAATCAACTTCTTTTAGTTCTATTTGGAATTTAGTTTGGAATTGTTTTAGTTTATTTACATAAAAGCACTCTACACGGCTATTTTAAAAGGTTCTTTTTAAAAAATTCTCACAGACTATATGCATCAAATAAACTTTGATTTTTTTCCTTTTAAAATACAAAATGTAATTATGAAGAGAAGTTATTTTTAATATAAGCATTTAAAGTTTAGGGTTTTAATGGAAAGGGATTTATTCTATCAGTACTTTGATTTTTTATTTGCTTATTTGATAGTTTCCTCATGTGCTGCTGCTCATCCCCCTTCAGGTGTTTCATATGCCTTATACTCTGCTGGAAATTGAAACCTCACTATCAATCTGGATTGAAGTGAGCATAATAGAATTGACAGGGTTTTTGTAATTAAGCTTAAATAATAATTCAAAAAGAGGTCCCTGTGTTTCTCCTTTCTTAGCCATATTTATAGTATGAAACTGAATATTCTGTGACATTTGTAAGTTTCTGGGAGCAGTCCTCACTTTTTTTTGTTATGTCTTAATAAGTTCATACTTGTGACCTGTGTTTTTCTTTTTCAATTGAAAGAGTGTAACTGTGTCTGCCATTTATTTTGCAAATAGAGAGAAATGGGAAAATAGCTCAATAGACTTACTAATTCTGGTCTGCACAGTGATGGTGGATGGGGGTGGGCGGAAGTGACAATGTGGATTAATATTCTTAAACCCAAGGAATGTTTGTAAATAAACTTGAAGAAAATCTTCAAAGTCTCCAAGATAGAGAAAACTTTTAATACTTATGTGTTATCTTAATGTTTATTGTTTCTAAGTTTTCTCATGTATCTTGAAACATTTCTTAATGAAACCTGTTCAAGATGTTAATTAAAAGTTTTTCCCCCCCTTTCAACCAAATCCCCATTTCATTTTGTTGGGGTAGTTAGCTTCCTTGTGGACTCAGATTTTTAAATAGAAAATTTTAATTACTGGTAACAATTTTAAATTGATATGTATGACTTAATTATTCTGGTGTATTGTAGACTATGTGTGTATATTTAGACAAATAGAATTTGAAATATTAGTGTTCTTTACAAACATAACATTTTTATCTTTGCAAAATCATAAATGTTTTGGTGGTAATACTTTGATAGCTGTTATTGAGTACTGATTTCTAGAAAAATTACTAGAATAATTCCTCTTGCTTTCAGTTATAAAACATCAATTCTTAATTTCCCAGTTTTTTGTTTCATTGTATTTTAATTTTTGTCAATGCCCTCCCTGTCACCTAAACCTGGCATTCAAATTCACTACCTTTTAGAACAAAGTGTACAGTGTTGAACTCAGAAGAAAATCCATCTTTACTTCATTGCTGCTTTTCCCTGAGTTGGATGAGTCACTAGTAGCTAGAAATAAACTTTCCCACGATAATCATTACATACTTGAACTTTGAGTACTTCTTGATGTCACATGTAAAAGTAGCCTAGTTTTTAATGGAAGGAACTTGTAGTGCAAGAAAGGAATGAGAGATGTAAGACTGAAACATTAGACCTCACTAAAATTGTCTTTGATTTTATAATGCTAACCCTTTGAAATCTTCAAGGCTTAGGGACCTAGGATTGGAGAGAAGCTGTGTGGCTACGCTTTCCAAAAGTAAAGTTCGAAAAGAGTGGAGTACTGATAAAAGCAACAGATCACAGAACAAGAAGACAAATAGTAGAGTTTAATACCTGGCACCCGCAGAAAAGCAAGAGAGATGATGGAGGGCCAGTATTTCATGTATAATAATAAATAGCATACTGCCCTAATTTTGAAAGTCACCACTACTGAATTTTTTGTTATTGTTGGGGGAGGCCTGTTGGGGATAAGAGTTGAGCCTGTGGAGGAAAGATCTAACCATCTCCATTGACACTGAGGGAAAATTGTAAGATTAGGGTTAGTCTTGAAATAGCGTGATGGGATAGTGCCCCTGTTTCCAGGTTCTGGATAACTAATAATCAAAAATGGAGTTTTTAGGATGCATTTGGTTTTTTAAAGATCTTTAGTAAATGCTTTAAAAATCAGTGAATAAGGATTAGAATGTTCATCTGTCCTTTAATATAATGCATAGTGAAATTTTAAAAAGGTGTTTTTGTTCTGTGGTATTCAGTACATCTTACTGGATCCTGCGTAGATAAAAACTGTTAAAAAGTGAGTTCACCAGGTAAAGCTCTACATCTTCTAGAACCCAGCTCCTCTTACCTTGCTTTCACTTTATTTAAGTGGTTCAAATGGATCAATGAAAATTTACCAGTAATACTAACCTCAGTACAGATTTGGCTGTATAGTTCTTTGCTTGGAAAGTGACTGATACCTAAGTGATTTTATTTTACAGGAAATTCTTGTTCTATAATGTGACACTCAACCCAGATTTTTAAAATATGTAATTTTAGTTATTTTCTAACTTCTTTGAATCACTAAAATTTAATTGCTGGTAAAGTTGTGATTGTGTTTTACATGAAAGAAAAAGAATATGCATTTTTCTAATTAAAAACTACGATATTATATCTTTTCATATTTACCTCATATTTCATTATCTTTATACACTTGTCAAATATTCTTACCCCTTGGGTCCTCATAAACAACAATATGAGGAAAAATTTTAAATAAATATAAAAATGGGAAAAGTAGTTTCTAACTGAACTAATAATAAGCCTTTTTTTCAGTTTGCATTGGTATTACCATGATTTCATTTCAAGTGATTTCTTTACTTTGAAAATACATTAAAGAACATTTGTGGGCTTTGTAGAAAGACCAGTTCTACACCAAATGGAACTTTTATTTCAGCTAGAAGTTTTAGGTAAAAGTTCTAGAACTTTTGAAAACAAAATTTCAAGTAAAGTTTAGGCTGGTAAAATTACCATGTGTCTTAGTAGTTCTTTTTAGAGTAGTATACTCTCCAGGCTATTTTAGGTCTAGAATTTAAAGTAAATAACTTCTTGTTACTAATAGTAAAAATAGTTCTTGTTGTAAAAATACTCTATTACTTTTGTCAGTGTAATATAGACAAAATATAGAATAATATAGAAGCACTTGAGTTTTTCTAGTTTTTTTTTATTTTGAGAGAAAGTCATTTTAACAACTTTCAGCTTTTTCTTATGTTGGAAATTATATTCTTAGATTGTTCTTTTTTGACCTCCGTAAGAAGAAATATTTAAATAGTGTAGTCAGTTTTGTCCAGAGCTATGTTTGAAACATCACTAATGTTTTCACTTAACCAGCATAAAACATAATTTCTAGCAGTATAATACTAATCAGATTTTACTGTCCCATTTTAGTTGCTAATGGCTATCTTTTCCAGTTAACCAGTTGGAGAGTGATAGGATAGTTTTCCTTAAAAGATAGTTAACTAAAAATTTGAAAGTTTTTTTTTTAAGGGAACTTAGAAACTGAATATGTTTTATTATTATCTGAGGTTTAATGTATTCTGAAAACTTAGTAGAATCATATTTTTTGTAGAAGACTAAAATTCTAGCCAACAGATTTCAAAGTTGCTATATTAGTATGGTATGTCTTAGAAGTTAACTTCTGTGAGATCTCCTATGCTTTCTTTTTTTTAAACTCTGGAGTAATAACCTCTATAATTTTATAATGTTATTTGTAGTTTTAACTCACAAGTTATGAGCTTATTTAAAACTGAAGAATTTTACTGTCTTGCCTCTCTCTCTTTTGGTTAAAGTAGTACAAAATGTCAAAAATTAGAAGGAAAGTCACAGTGGAAAATACCAAGACCATATCTGATAGCACATCCCGAAGACCCAGTGTATTTGAAAGGCTTGGACCCAGCACTGGCAGTACAACAGAGGTGAGTTGTCGTTAGCATTAGCACAGTCACAGGGGTTCTAACAGTCCTATTCTTGAAGTAATGATTTGCATCACAAAGTTGATTATAATGGATGAATATTGGTTTGGTAAATTTTTAAAAGATCTTTTATTAAAATGAAAAGAGTGATAGGGTTTATGGGCATTTCATTTTCTGATACTATGTTTTCATTATTTGGGTAACAATATATTTCAGGTTAGCTGGAATTTTGATAGTGTTTGTTTAAATTTTTTTCCCATTAGCATCTTCTTTTTCCAGAACTAAATATGAAATTTACTTAGTAATATCTGTCTCTTAGACTCAATGTCGTAACTGGCTGAAGACTGGCAACTGTCTATATGGAAACACTTGTAGATTCGTGCATGGCCCTTCACCCCGTGGTAAAGGTTATAGCAGCAGTTATAGAAGGTAAATTGAGATCTTTGAATTGTTTGTACACTGTTAGAAGATGACTTTTGTAATTTAGTATAAATGTGTGAAATAACCATATATTTGGTCAGATTTTCTATTTTGGTAGGAGTCTTAGCAGTAGTCAAAGTTCAATGAGATCTGAGTTATTTTCAAAGTTGATGAAACAATTGCTTTAAAAATAACTTACCTGCTTGATCTAACAGTGTCTTTTTTTTGTATGTATGTATGGCTTATTTTTTCTCCTAATCATGTATTAAATTGATACTTGAGACAGAATTTCATGAATTTATATTTAGTGAATGAGTCTCAACTATTACAATATTGAAATTTAGATAGGATATGACTTCAGCTCTCTTTACATGTAAATTCAATTAGGGACAAAAGACATCCTATGCTAGTTCTGTAAGTGAAATGCATTTGCCAAATCTCTTACCAATTGTATTTATCTAAATGAAAATATGTATTTATATGACAAATGTACTGTCCTTTAGAATAATGTTTTGCCTTTAATGATGACAGAGAAGCTTTCCTAATAAAGACCTTTCATTTTTCTTCATGGTATTTTTGTTATAGTGTTGAAATATACAGCACATACGATTGTCTCACATACTTTAGATTTGTTTGCTAAATAAGTTATTTATCTAGCTCTAAAATTTAGTGTGCCTAAATGCTGTAAGGCACACTGAAAACTTTGTTTATTCTCACTTAGTAATGGTGTGAAAATTATTGAATAATAATTTTTCAAATTTTTAGCATAAATTATGAACATTAGTATTTGAAGTTATTTTTTAAATTGACTTTTTGGTGTGTGTGTAGATTTTACAGCCTAATAGAATTTAATATGAGCTCAACATTAGCTGACTTTATTTAAATATTGTACATTTTAATTGTGATGCTGAAAAATTGTTTGTATTTAGATTGTCATTTATCTCTTGCTTATGTGGGAACATTAATCTTTGTCATATTGTTCAAGGGAAACTCTGTTTTGTTTACATTGCTACTTTTACATGTAAAAGTAATGCATGTAAAAGTGCATGTTTTAGTTAATCTCTGAAATTGATTATTAGCTATGAATTTTTATAAAGGAGGTAATATTGAGGAAGGTAGGCAGATAGTGGTCTAAACTGGACAAAAGACTTAGAGAAAAAGTTTGCTATAATTTTGCTGTTGTGCGTATTTTTCCACTTCATAGCTTTTGTATTTGTATATTTCCCCTTTTCTAGTGACACAAAAATATAACTTACAATGTGATTCAAAATAGATAATGTATTTAAAAATGCTTATTTATAAGCCTTTTAAATAATTTATAGAGCATTCTTTATATATAAAGCACCTGCCAAGGTACTGTTAAAGGTAGAAACAAGACCATAAACTATTTTATTACAAAGGAACTTAGGGCACATAAGATTTACGTGCACTTAATTAAAATTAAAAAATGTACTAGTTCTTAAGTTCCATTTTCAAGTTCAACATTGACTGAAAACATTTAATATGAAACTCTAAAACTATACACATTTTTTTTAAATAATATAAGCTTATTTTTACATCATTTCATGACTATTTCCATCTCAGTTGTAATCCCTGTGGGCTTCCCATTACCAAGTCACCCATGTGCCATCACCACAGTCCAGTGCACTCCCCCCCCCTTAGCTCCCCATTTTTGATCCCACTCTTCACTGCACCCCCATAAAATGTCTCTGGTGTATAATTGTTCATTACTATTATTGTGATTATTTTCTCCCCTGGTCCTTTATATTCCTGCTATGAGTGAAACCATCTGTATATTTCCTTTTCTTTCTGTCTTATTTCACTAAGCATGATCCCTTCCAGCTCCATCCATGTTGCTGCAAAAGGCATGTGTTTATCTTTTTTTTTGATTGCTGAGTAACATTCTTTTGAAATTACACTCAAATTTCAATGAAATCCTTTAGAGAGAATTAACTGAAATTATTTCTTCACTATGGATTGTATTAATGATAAAGTGAAGGAATTGATTTGATAAATTGAAGCGTATATTTATTTGTTTCAATAATTTATTTTTATCTTTTAAGGAAAATTATAAAGCACTTTTTTAGAGGCCAAAGAGTACTATTCCTGAATGTATATAGCCCTGGGTTCAGAGTGTTCTTTAAAGGCACAGTGTATTCCATCTCTGCTTTCTTTTTTCTCATTTAGTAATGGTGTGAACATTTTTGAATAGTTATTTTTCAAATTTCTAGGGCATTATGAAGCCTTGCAATGTTTAATGTGATTTTGTGTTTTTTCTTAATTAAAAAATTCCACAACTGAATGTAAAATAACTGGCTAAAATCTTGCCCAGAATCCTTTAACTATTTTCTTTTCTGAAATAATTTTAATAAAAATTAAAGGGATAATTTCAGAAATACTTCAGAAGCTTTAAGTATTTTCTCAGTTGAAGTTACATCCAGCTGCATGTGTGTAGAGATGAAAACATTGTTGGTTCAGATTAATTTTAGGATATTATGGTTTAAAACTGTCTCCCTGCTTTTATATTTCAAATATAACTAGTATATTTATGTGATCAGTAGGAAAACAGATTAAGCAGTTAATTCCAAATACATTTCAACTCAATAGTTTATATTTATATCATTAGTACTTAGCCAGTCTATTGGACTTTAATGTGTACATTTTCATTGGTATTTGTGGAGAACTTCTAAGTGTTCATATTTTATACATTAATATTTAAACTGAAACAAATTCTTTGAACTTTAGGGACCATGGACAGTTCCCAAAAATTATATTGTGATTTATAAATTTATATATATATATAGACTTTTGTTGTGGTTTTTGTTTGTTTTTGGTTAAAGGTCACCAGAAAGACCTACAGGGGATCTCAGAGAAAGAATGAAGAACAAGCGTCAGGATGTGGACACTGAGTCCCAGAAACGAAATACAGAGGATTCATCCTCACCTGTTAGGGTAGGCATGAATTTCCCAAAACAAAGTTAAATTTCAGTAGTGATTTGTTACTTACATTCCATTTTAAATAATATCTTGTGTGTGATAATGTATTACAGTGTTTGGTGTGGATAATGTAACTTATGGAGGAATAATTCTTGCAAAAATCTCACAGTTCTCTAATTGTTTCAGTTCTTACTGTTAAGATGTAGGGAATTGGTTGACAGATCTTAAGCTGAATTTCAAAGGGTTTCTGTACTTTGAAGAGCACTATGAGTATCTTAAATGAATTCTTGAGTTTTCAGAATTCACTTAACTATGATGTCATGCCTATTTCCAAGAAAACTTGAAGTGGTTGACAATAGAGAATATTTACAAGTAAAATCAATGAAAGGAAGGCATGGTGATGACAAACTGAACTAAACAACTTAGGTAAAGAGAAAAAAAACACATGACCACAAAATTTAGTGGTAGTTTTTTTTTTTTTAATATTGTGCATACAGAACTGGGGTACAGGGCAGATGCTCAGGGGCGGTGAGAGGCTTCACCAGAGACAGAACGGGGAACAGAACAGGCAGCTCAACGAAGTACACTGCTGAGGCGAGCAGCGGGAGGGTCAGGAGAGGTCTGCCACGCCATGTGGTCACCTCCGGGGCAGGCGGTAATCGAACTCATGCGGAAGTGGCTTTAGATTCTCAGTGCTGTGCTTTAACTCACTGCGCCACCAGGGAGGGCCCAATTTTCTCTTTTTAAAGATTCATTTATCCATACAGAACTGGGGTACAGGCCAGAGGTACGGGGATGGTGAGAGGATCCACCAGAGATAGAGTGGAGAGCAGAGTAGGCAGATTAAGTACACTGCAGAGGGGAGGAGCGGGTGAGACCAGAGAGTTCTGCTGTGCCATGTGGGTCTCCTCCGGGGTTGGGGATGAAACTTGCACTGGGGCGGCTGTGGCCAGCTTGCAGTGCTGCATCCTAATCTATTGCACCACCAGGGAGGGCCCTAGAGGTAATTTTTTTTTTTAAAGATTTATTTATTTGTGCATACAGAACTGGGGTATAGGCCAGGGGTGCAGGGTCGGTAAGAGGCTTTACCAGAGACAGTGGGGAGCAGAACAAGCATATTGACGAAGTACACTGCTGAGGGGAGCAGCTGGTGCTGGGTCAGGAGAGGTCTGCTGCGCCATGTGGATCACCTCCGGGGCGGGGATGGAACTCATGCTGAAGTGGCTTTAGCGTCTTAGTGCTGTGCTTTAACCTGCTGCGCCACCAGGGAGGGCCCTAGTATTTATTTTTAATGTGGTAACAGAGCTTCTAAAAGGTATATGGCTTTATGGTCCTATTGAAAAGGGCTATCTAGGTGATTCCAGCCAAGATTATCACTGTTAATGAGGGACTTTTTTTTTTTTTTAAGAAGTGTCAGGATTTGCTGACCAAAAAAATAAATGGAGGAGGAGGTATTAAATCTGACTATGGACTTTCTATGCCATTAACAAAGATGGAGAGAGGAGAGAATTGGTTTTTGACCCCTTTTGTATATTAGGTTCATATCATTATGGATAGCTAATTTTTGTTTTTAGTCCTTGCACTGACAGTAATAATGACTATTTCAAATACTCAGGAAATAATAGTACATTTTTATAGAAAGTCTATAAATAGTACATTTTACTAGAAATTCTCAAACAATTGAAAGAACTTTGTTTCTTTTATATAACAAGGTTGTTATTTTATGTAATGAACACAAAGATAAATGTGCTTTGAAATCAAAATTAAACCCCTGAATATATAAAGTCAGATAGGGGATTATTCAAGTATTTGAAGCACTCTAGGGCAATCCCTGTTTCTTAGGAGAAATTTTGTGGCTGCGTTTAAGAAAGAATTAAATAACTCATCATTGTGGGATAATCTCTAGGATTTAGTGATATCTGAGAAATCCGTTTGCTTATCCAAAGTATCTCAGCAAATGTGTGGTGGTCTTTGTATGTTCTGATCTCCCCCCCCATTTTTAAAATTGTGGTAAAATAAAATTTACCACTTTAAACATGCTTAGTTGTACAGTTACGTGACTTTCAGTATTTTTGAACTGTCAGTGTCCAGTATTTTTCATCAGTTTTGTTCTTAAAGTCTTGACTCTGCTTACTCTTTCATAAGAAATTAAAAGTTGCAATAATGTTTCAACTAATGTATATATAATTTTTTTTTTTACATATTCTTACCATTTTAATGACCTTTCTGGTTCCTATGTCATTTTCAAAGGTTTTCTTTTGAGACATTGAAATATTTTTAGTCCATAGCCACTATTTTTTCAAAGGATTGTTTTTGTTCATTTGTACAGTTCCTAGTCTCCAACCTAATAACATCTCTTCAAACAAAAATTTTATATAAACGTGTTTATCCTTGATTTCTACCCTGAATCTAAGAGTATGGTTTAAATTACTTTTTCGTATCTCAATCTATAACTGAATCACAAGTTGTTTCACTAACATCTAGCTTACTTGAGATACCTTTGGGGCTACCATCTATTTGACTTTGGACATGAAAGTAGTCTTTTCCATCATCAAGACTTGGTTTTCTGATCTTTTGAACTGAAAACTAATTTCTTATCATTAAACTTCTGTCTCTGGGAAGTGTACCTCCCAGGGTGCCTTCATAATTATTGGTTTTGATTCACAGTCTGTTCTTGTCACTCTAGCTTCCCCCTACTCACAAATATTCCCTACCTTGTTCTTTTTCTAAATCTTTATGTTTCTGGTTAAGTGAAGAAAAGATGACAGTAACAGAGGGGATAGTACAATGTCTATTACAAAAAGTGATCATGTGCAGTAAAGTTAAATCAGAAAGCTGTAACACTTTTACGGTTTTTGACCTTGCTTTTTAAGCTCTAAAATATATCTGCACTAATGTCTCAAATTACAATGAGAATCAAGTGAGGAAATACACGTGCAATTTCTTTTCAAAGACTTAACATTCAAAATAAGAGAAGTTAGAAACTCACCAAATAAAAAAATTAGGAGCCAGATCTTTGTAAAGATAAGTAAAAAAGGAATAATGCTTATTTCAAAGGAAAAAGTTTAGAAGGCTAAGACTACAAATGGAGGAAAAGTATGTGTCACTTGGTAGGATTTGATAATTGTATAGTATGGGAATAATTAACAGTGAATTTTAAACAGGTTTTCATTTCATATTGTATAATTACCATGTTTTTAACTGGTGCAATCTGCAAATGTATTTTTTTTATATTGTTAAAACGAATTATTCCAGTTGTTAAACATTGTTAAAAAGTAATCACACGTTTTATGCAAAGATATAGTTGGTGTGACTTATTTCTTTGTCTGGAACCTCAGTGTAGATTTGCCCATATGTCTGACTACTGATACTGGAAATTTGCTGGCGGCATCAGTTTTCTTCTCCACTTGGGTATGTTTGCACAGGTAGTACAGATTTTTTGTTTTCACAGCCTGAATTTTTTTTTCTTATTTTGGGCGTGGGGGATATTGAGAGAGAGATACAGGGTGTTAGGTGTGCTTGCTCTTGATAGGCTGTCATTTCTTTTGGGCTTTGCTGACTGAACAAAGACATAAACATATATACGTTAACTGGTATATAATGGAAATATTAATATTTATTTAATATACATATTTCTAATAACCACCTGTATTTATATTTGAGCTAAATACGAATTCTTACCTTTCCAACTCTCATTCATTACCACAATTTTTTTTCTCTCAAATGCCCTTTCCTTACCTTGTGGTAACTCTTGAATAGATCTTGACCGAGATCTTTTTATAAAAACTAACTTTATTGTGATACAATTCCAAAAATCGTTTCGGGATTCAGCCATATTGTGACTCCTGTCAGTTCCTTTTATTGATGACTGGTGTTATATGGCTGTAAAAACTTTGTTACCCATTTCCCAGTTGACAAACATCAGGATTGTTTATAGTTTTGGCTATTACAAATAAAGCTGCAATGAACACTTTGTGTGGACATGCTTTTTTTTTTTTCTTTTAAAGATTTATTTATTTGTGCATACAGAATTGGGGTACAGGCCAGAGGCTCAGGGGTGGTGAGAGGCTTCACCAGAGACAGAGTGGGGAACAGAACAGGCAGATCAACGAAGTACACTGCTGAGGGGAGCAGTGGGCGGGTCAGAAGAGGTCTGCCATACCATGTGGTCACCTCTGGTGCAGGCGGGAATTGAACTCATGCAGAAGCAGCTTTAGATTCTCAGTGCTGTGTTTTAACCCGCTGCACCACCAGGGAGGGCCTGTGTGGACATGCTTTTTGTGGATAAGTACTTTGCAATAGAATTGCTGGGTGATATGTATAGTTATTAATTATAAACATTACTAAACAGTTTTCTAAAGTGGTGGTTCCATTTTACCTTTTCATCCATTGTGTGAGTTTCATTTTCTCTATTCTTGCTAAATCTTAGTCTTTTTCATTTTAGTCATTCTAGTGGGTATATGCTGATTTTTAATTTAAGATTAGTGATGTTGAGCATCTTGTCACTGTTTATTGGGAAGTTTTTACTACAAAGTAACCTTTTTGTCTTAGGACAGATTGTGGTTTTTAATGTGTTCTGAATACCAGTCCTTTGTAAGATAATATGTATTGCAAATATTTTGTCTGTGTGACATCCCTTTTCATTGTGGTTTCTTTCTGTGTTGCTTTGACATAACCTCAATAGTTTTTGATAGTCTTTTCATTTCTGTTAATATGTTCCCAGCTTACTGTGTATATCTGATACACTTTACTTGTAATCAGCTGTTTCCCCCTACCCCGATATCTTTAATGGGAGGTGGCATTATAAGACCATTACGTAGATGTTTATTGCCTATAGATTAGTCATTGCTTTTAGGATTTTTTGTTGGGCATGCTTAGGAAATTCAGTTGTATCTTCTCTGTAAAAGCATACAAACATGAGTTCAAATACTTCAGATTTAGAATTGCAGGACTTTTGATTTTTATATTTCATAGATATATCACTTTTCTCTTAGACTGAAAGTTTGTTTCTGTTA